ATCCTAAGAATGGTGTGAGGATGGAACAATTCTTGGAAAACAGTTTTGGGGGAAGGCATAATGTCTGAATGCTTATACAACAGAATGTTTCCGCTTACTCAAGGTAAGTGGAAAATGTTTTATATTCTAATAGGATGTGATTGTGATTTCTGAGAGTTTTTTTCTTGGATGTGACTGTAATGCCCATCTTCCTTCCTTAAAAACAAGTGTCATCTTCAGCTGTGACAGTGATCTTGTGGCCACGAAACAAGCATGGGACAAAAGCCAGCTCGATAAGGAAGGTGGAATATCTGGGTTCTCCATGGAGTTAAGTAGCTGCCTAACACCAGCAATTGCCTACTTCCAGACTTCCTTTATGGAAAAGCACACATGCCCTTTTTGGTTTAAGATACTGTTATGTGCAGGATTTTCTGTTATTTGCAGTTGAACTTAATTCCTAGCAGAGGAAAGTAGTTAAGAGGAAATCGACAGGTACAACATACAAATGATGAAGTAAATAAGGTTTGTATAAAATCTGCAATAATTAACAACTGACTGAACAAAAAAACACCCACCTGTATGTAGGGAGGGATTTGAATTCAACCTTTACTTTTGATAACAGGAAGCCAAAAGTTAATGTAAAGCTGGTAGACCAAGATACACTGTGTGCAGTACTTAGTGATGTGGAAGCAGCTACTTCAAAAATATAAAGTAAAAGTGACTAAGACATTTGCTTCCAGGGAACAGGACGGAGGGTGGATGAGACTACATTGCTTTTCTTCCATACCATTTGATTTCCTTACCACAAGTGCCTTTTTTTTTCTTCTAAATTAATCATAGCAGGGAAGAAATTCTGTATGAGATTGTAGTCTTTCCTGGCACTACCTTATAACTTCTTGAGGAAATGCTACGCCTCTTCCTTTCTTATTCAAATGACAATATAAATGCTTTAAGGAGTATTTCCTGCTTCTCACCACAACACGATTATTACTTGGGTTTAATTTTTAAGTGAAAAGTGTGACTTGCATACATCTTAGAATGCATTCTTCAAAGCCAGGAGAAGGCTCTGGTTCCACTTCCTTAGCAGCGGTTCTCAAAACAGGCTCAGGAGCCTCCTTGGAAATTGGTGTGGGGGAGGGGCTGAGTAGGTGCTTCCAGAACCTCCAATCCTGCTTCCACTGGATCAGCTCTGCTTTATTACTGATATGAAGCTTTGGCATAAGACTTAATTAGAAAGAAAAAAAAAGTTCAATGAGTTTGAAAATAATTACACTATGGCAAAAGTTAGCACAGCTGAATTTGGCCTGCAAATATATTTAGTTTGATTTCACATGTGGTTCCCCTCTCACCCCTTTTTAAACTTAGAAGCATTCAAAAGCTGAGTGTGGTGGCTCACACCTGTAATGTTAGCTACCCCTGAGGCTGAGATTGAAAGGATCATGCTTTGAGGCCAACCCAGGCAAAAAAAGTAACAAGACCTCACCTAACCATTGATAAGCTAGAGTGATGGTAGTGCCTGTCATCCCAGCCACATGGTGAACAGGAGGATCACGGTCCAGGCCAGCCAGGACATAAACATGAGATCCTATTCAAAAAGTTCAAGTGGGGCTGACGGCATGGCTCAGGCAGTAGACTGCCTGCCTAGCAACTGTGAGGCCCTGAGTTCAAACCCCAGTACTGCCAAAAAAAATTAGATTTGAATATATCAGTACCTCCTTGCCATCCAATGAACTTAAGAAAAATATAGCTGTGAGCTATCAGAAAGTCCAAATGGTTGAGCACCTGCCTAGTCAAAAAAAAGCAAAAAGCATGTAAAGATGAGATTTCATATAAACATACAGAAGACATAGTGACATAGTGACCACATTCATGAGTGGCAACATAGCTGCAGATGAGAAGACTCCGTTTCGGGTAGATGGGGTGTGGACTCTTTAATAACAGTTTTCGCCTGGTCACCTTCACCCATTTACCAGAACTGGGGACTCTGCACTAAGAGACAAGGAATCCAATTTCTTTCTTTGCAACAGGAAGCAGCATGGAGCAATGGAAAGATCACTGAACTGGGTCTTTAGAGTTTCTGAGCATCACTCATCAGCTCTGAAATGGTAGAAGTCAGAATAGGTTGTTACATTATGTTACATCTGCAATGTGATATTAACCCATTAGCCAGGAAGTCAAGTGACTTAATATAGCAAAGTTTACTTCTCATTGACACAGTATGTCCAAGTGGAACAGGCAGAGACTGTTCTACAAGTCATCCAACACCCCAGCTGACTTGAGGTTCCAGCATGGTCACTTGATTGCCTTAAAGGGACAAAACACAGAGCTTCAGAGCTCACATCAGAGCTTCACCTTCTTTATCCAGAAATGAACAGTCACTTTCACTTACATTTTATTGGCCATAGCTAACCACATGGCCTCAAGTAACTAAGGGAGCAGGAAATATAGAACAAATGGAATACTTTAGTGGGCATGACTCTACTACACACAACCTTTGGTGGATTTTACTTCTCTCAGTCTTAGTCGTTCATGAAGTTACATGGTACATAATGGTCCTTTCTCTCTCTAGAGGTTATGGGGAGAAGCAAATGAGATGATACATAAAAGAGCTTTAATAAGCTCTAAGAGCACACAGACTTAAAAGGAGCACAGCACCTACACTGTGGTGTAATTGATGAATTATGTGTCTTCATCTCTATACACACACCCTTACCTATTTACTTAGACATGAGTCAAAGGGGTGGTCTATGCACCCAACCTTTGAACCTGGGTGGACTGAAATGACTACTTTGTCTAACAGAATGTGATAGACAAGACATATTGTGAATTGAGGCTAGTCATAAATATGCCAAGCACTTCTCTCTTGGAGGCTCTGTTCTCTCAGTACCAGGTTGTGAAGGAGGCCACAGGAACCCTATGGAGAAAAAAAGAAGTTACAATGCAGGTGTCTTCAGCCTGGCTGAAGCCCCAGATGACAGCTGCTCAACCTCTGGACCTATGGCCAAATACACCCCAGGTGTTTCCTGTCTTAGCCATCTTGTCAAGCCCAGACTTCAAGTTTTTCCAGCTGAGCCCCAGATACCATTCAGCAGAGAGGCTGTCCCCACAGGGATCCAAATTCCTGCTTTTACACCACTGTGTTTTGGGGTGAATTTTCATGCAACAGCATCTGAAACAGTAGGCTGCTTACAGGAGCCATTTGATCACTACTGAGAGAAGGCCAAATAGTAAGTGCATCCTTACCAAAATTAATACATCTCAAATAGTGCACCAACAGAAACAATTACAGCTTCTGCTCAATGTGGATTGTATTGATAAGAATTCAGAAAGGTTGGGTGCCGGTGGCTCACACCTGTAATCCTAGCTACTAAGGAGGCAGACGTTAGGAAGATTGTAATTTGAAGCCAGCCTGGATGAACAGTTAAGCTAGCCTGGGTGAATAGTTCTTAAGACCCTGTCTTGAAAAAAGCCATCATGAAAAAGGGCTGGTGGAGTGGCTCAAAGTGTAGATCTGAGTTCAAACCCCAGTACTGAAAAAAAAAATTTTTTCAGCAAGGCTGGGGCCAGGTGTGGTGGTATATGACTATAAATAGCAGCTACTTGGGAGAGACAGGAGGACCTCAGTTTGAGGCAGCCAGGGCAAAAAGTTAGCAAGACCATTTCTCAAAAACAAGCCAGGCAGGGTGGCACATGCTTGCAATCCCAGCCATATGTGAGGCGGAGACAGGATCATGAAATGGGGCCTACCCAGGGAAAAGCATGAGACCCCTCTAAAAACAAATTAAAGCAAAAAGGGGTGGGAGCATGGTTCAAGTAGTAGAGTGCCCTGAGTTAAAATCTCAGTTCTGTCCCACCCCCAAAATGAAAATTCAGTTCAGCTATGAGCAACAGAAAACTCAGAATAATAACACTTAAACAAGATAGAAACTTGCTTCTCTCTCACTTAAACGTTCAGATGGGTAGTTTAAGGCTGTTATGCCAAGTTGGGCATAGCAGTGTGTGCCTGTCATCCCAAGGATGGCAGGAAGCTTATAATAGGAGGATTGTGGTCCTGGGCAAAAAGTGAGCCCCTAGCTCCAAATTAACCAGAGCAAAAATAACCGGAGGCATGACTCAAGTAGTAGAACATCTGCCAAGCTAATGAAATACCCTGAGTCTGTCCCTCCTCATCCCCTCCCAAAACACTGTGCCCACCAGATGAGATTCAATCTGTACCTCATTTCTCTACTATCCACAAAATGAGGCCCCACCTTATAGTCCAAGATGGCTGCCCCAGCTCCAGCTCCAGCTAGCATGTCAACATTTCAGCCAGCAGAAGGGAAAAAGGAGGGGATAGGGATGCCTCCCACCCTTTTCCCTAAAAGTGTATCTATTGGCCAGATCTTAGTCACATGGCCACAACAAGATGCAGTGATAATGTCTGCGAAAAGTTATATTTACTGCAGGTTGCCAGGTCCCAACCAATGATGGGAAACCTAAAGAAGGAGAAATGAATATTGGGGGATAAATGATAGATACCACATGCACAGTCCAAAATTAAACTCATACTTGGTTTAGGATTACAGGTTCAAATAACCATTACCCAAAGAAATATACCAGCATATCTTGTTACAACTCCCAACTCTAAAGATTTAGGGTAGAGCTTTCAAATTAAATAAAAACACGTCTTGGCCTGGTGGAGTGGTTCAAGTTGTAGAGCACCTGCCTAGCAAGTGTGAGGCCCTGAATTCAAACCCTATCCCACCCAAAACAAAACAAAATATGTCTATAGTACAATATCAGCTTTTCTCACTCAATAGAATAACACTTGAATATAAGTAAAATGGCAAACATGCACTTGACATTTAGACACAAATATTTCCTTTAAAAATAGCAATTAAGTCCTGCTTTGTATCCCACAGATGATCCTGTAAGGCATGTTTCCTTGGGCACTTCACTCAATAGTCTGAAGGTTGGTTTTACCATCTATAGTCATGTATTTGTCATGAGGGTTAAATGAGACCACACATATAAAATGCTTTGTAGAGTTTTATACAAATATAAAGTTATGCACCTTCCAACATACAACTCCAATAAAGACAATCAATTAAACAAAAAATCTTTAAAAATATTTTAACAATACACAAATTTACATTGATAACTTAACCTGCTAATTAAAGGACTTCTGAACAGAATTCAGAAGTAAACAGAATTCAGAATTAAAGGGCTTCTGAACAGAATTCAGAGCTGCCTGCAAGCTTATAGATTGGTTTATAGTTACATATATTGCTTTGTTTTAAGAAATACCATTAATATAAATTATGTTTTATAATAACCCCATTATAGAAAGAAAAAAAATATTCATAAAAAATGTCCTTTAGACATTTATTATCTCAAGTATTTAAATGATTATTCTCATTATGACTTAGGAATAACACCCTTTTTTTTAGTGGTAAAAGATTTTATTAGTCCAAACCACTGAAGAGCTTCCAGGCAGTTCCAAAGTAAACTCTAGCTATCTTTTCCAAAAAATAAACAGAACAGCAGCAATCCCTGGTATCCCTTAAATATAACTATGAAGATTTCATTTCTATTAATCAGATGTTAAGTAAATTATGTGTTACAAAATAAAAACAAAAACAAAATTTTAGCAAGGCGTGATGGTACATGCCTGTAATCCCAGCACTTGGGAGGCTGAAGCAGGAGGTTCACAAGTTTGAGGCCAGCCTGGGCTACATAATAGACCCTATTTCAAAAAGGAAAAAAATCTTTAAAAAAATGATAACTGCTGGCCCCAATTTTGTGTTCATTTGCTTGCATATGTCTGAGATAGGCAATTTCACCTATATTAAAAACTAACCATTTTTTCTAATTCATATATAAATCAAAGTGCTTACTCACAATGCAATCAAAACTTACTTCTGAAAACAATCTAGAAATAGTATGTAAACACATAGAGCTCTGAGACAGACTAAGAACATCCTATGTTCTATGCACCAAAATACAAAGATCTGTTACAAATGTAAATGAACATACTAATTTGGAATACAGATATTACATAACAATGTGTGTATATACAGATCAATAAATTCTGACAATGTTTCTAGTGATACCATACTTTCCAACCCCAACTGGTATAAAGAAAATAGAAACAATGTGAAAACAATAAAGTTTTTAAGTGAAAAAACAAACCCAAAACTCCACTTTGATAGACTGAACTCTAAACCATTCAGAGTCAAGAATCTCTTCAGTTGTTCCCCCATATAATGGAACACATAAGCTTTCTCTCTTCAGGAAGTCTGATCACTTCCAGTGCTCTGCAACAGAGAAAAAAACTCCTTAATATTCAGTTATTTCACTTCATATACCACAGACTTCAGAGCACTAGAGCTAGGCAAACATTTCATGTGTAAGCAGAGTTAACTACTATATTATTTTATATCCAACACCCAATTATGTTAAAAAGTTGACACATCAGAGAATTAAATCCTTGGATACCACATCTACTCAGATGTCCAGCTTGTTACACTAAACAGAGCAAACAGAGCATCACTGGGAATTACATAAGCCACCAGCCCTACCCATGTTATGCCAAGCTCTGGGTTCAATTTCACCTGTATTCTAGGTTCCTCTCATCTTTAGCAAAATTAATAACCCTAAGGGAAAAAAATCTAATAAGCACATACATAACTATTACCCTAAAGTAAGAGCAAAGGTATACTAGGTCCATGCAAAAGTCTCTACATCTTATTTTCTATCAGGAGAAACTGTGTAGTAGAATGGAAAAAAACCAAAATATTTCTAGTGTAGAGGGCTGGGTTCAAATCCTAGCTTTGTACCACCTATCGGCTTTTTATTCTTGAGTAGATCACTTAATCTCTCAGGGCTTTGGTTATCTAGATTATACTTTTTTTTTTTTTTTTTTTGGCAGGACTGGGGTTTGAACTCAGGGCCTCATACTTGCAAAGCAGGAGCTCTCCTGCTTCAGCCACTGTGCCAGCCCTAGGGCTTTGGTTATCTAAAGTGTAAACCTGGGACCAGAAACTTGTTAGAATGCTAATTATGCCCCACCCCCAGATCTGAATAAGAAATCTCAGGGGTAGGGAACATAGAAATTTTGTGCTTTCTGGGTGATTGTGAAACATGTTAAGAGTTTGAGAACAACTGTTCTATAACACTCCTTGTCCAACCTACTGCTCTAAACAAAGATGAGGCATTGCTCACATGAAGACCTATTAAGCCAGGTGGTCAGGTGTGGTGGCCCACAGTAGGTAATCCCAGCACTCAGAAGGCTGAGGCAGAGGATCATGAGTTTGAGGCCAGCCTGGGCAACATAGAGAGACCCTGTTTTAAGTCACCAACCCCTTCCCCTCACCCCCTCCCCCCAAAAATCTGATCAATTTTCCCAAGAGGTTTAACCAGTAACTGTTTACCTATAACTACTCCACTTATCCCATTCAAAACTGATTTAAACCTTCATACTGGGGAGCTGCAATAAAACCTTTACGTTCTAGGGAGGGAAAGAACATCTGAGTATTCAAAACAATCCTTAATGATAAGGTCTTGTTTCAACTTGTTCCTGCTATAAACCCTAAAGCCATGCAATATGCACGCTTCAAGAGCAAAGCCACCATAATTAATGGGAAGCAAATGAACTTAGGTAATTTAAAAGAAATAGTTATTATCGACGATAGTTTATTTCTCTTTTAAAATACTTTTAGGACATTAATGACGAATTTCTGAAATGTCCTAAAAGCCTTCAAAGGGCAAGTAAAATACCTTTACTATCATCTCATATTTAAATCATGACGTAGCTTTAAAAAAAAAACTTAAAACATCCCATAAAAATTAAACTCTAAGAGTTAGAAATCATTGCATTAGTTATCAATCACACCTGGAAAACACTTACTTGTCTTAGAAACTGCTTTCCAAGATACGAGGTAGCCATGCTAGTTAAATTCTTCCTGCTGCCCACTTTACACCTGATGTAACCGTACAGGTTGGCACCTTGTAACACCACACCCATGATAACCACAGCCTGGAAGAGGGGAAAAATAATCAATTTACTGAACTAAAACTGACCTTTCTTTATGGTATAAGTGAACAAGGAGATGGCTATGAGGAAGAAAAGGAAAAATGAAGCTACAAGGAAGGGGTTGTGCCAATGAGACTCCTTACTTCACCAAAACAGACCTATCTGACATGTGCCCTGCATACAACACTAAGTCATCCATCCAAGGATTTAGTGAACACAATTGCTGCATCTGCCAGGCACCATCACCATGCTAGTTAACTCTGGGTGGGGGACATGTGAGATGGTGGGTAGAGAACATGCTCTCTGTTTCCAATGGGTTTATAAAATATAAGGCAAAGCAAGTGAGATGCAGAAAGGCTCAAATGTTAATTATTCCTAAAAGAATTATAAAAGAGAGTTAGTGGAGTAGTTCAAGTGGTACAGTAGCAGCCTAGCAAGCACAAGGCCCTGAATTCAAACCCCATTATCACCAAAAAAAAACCCCAAAAATTACAAAGAAGCAGTCAAGAGGAAGATCAAGTTGAAAAAACTGAGAGCAAGCAGAAGTGAATCACAGCTCCATGGTAATATGTATGTGACAACTGGCTTCTGGAAAATGAGATTCTAGGCCAATGCCCAACAGTAGCAATCCATAGGGGTTTGTGGATGGAAGAGGAACAACACTTCTGCAGAGCTGCTTATTCCTTGTAGCCGCATCAGAGATCCTACAGGTGGACCCTATTAAGATCACTGAGCACTGAAAATAACCAACAAGCTCAGTCTTGAAATTTTAATTAATTAGGACAATGTGAAGAGGTTCCAAGGTTAAATATTCTAGAACATCAACAAAGATTTTCTGTAAAGAACCAAATAAATATTTTAGGCTTCATGGGTCTATCTCTGTTCCAACGACTTAGTTCTGTCATTCTATCCCCAAAGCAGTCACAGACAACATTTAAACAAATGGGCAAGGCTCTGTTCCAATAATGATGTACAAATCAGGTGTTGGGCTGTATTTGGCCTATAAGCCATTGTCTGCCAACCCCTTTGTACAATGAACAGCTCACCAACCATTCTATTATTGCAAGTATTATTCAGGAAATATTTACATTTGTGAAAAGGAAAGCAGCTAAACAGAATGTCCTTTTCCAATCTCAACTTATTTTCTTTCACCCTTAACAAGCTGGATAACTAACTGTAAGAAGGCCAAAGGTTTTTAAATGTTTTAACTAAGGAACTGGTTCAAATTCCTAGTAAAAGAGACAGCTGGTATTTTCTATTCTAAACTTGTGTTTCAAGGAAATAAATACATAAGTATTATAGAAGGTTGCTAGTTACCTAAGTAAACATAAAACTGTATTCTTGCTCCAGTAAATCTCCTTTACCATCCCAAACTTCTCAGATTGGGGTGCTCCTGAGTATGTATGTGTCAAGATGCTAAAGGGAATCTGAATTCACTGGGCATAGGTCCTGGTGAGGAATCAATTTTATTCAATGACAACAAAGTTTAAAATAGATTAAGTTAAGACATTTGACTTCTGGTAGAAGAAGGCATAGTGAAGTCAGAAATGAAGATTTTCCTCCCTTTAAGATACAGACAGCAAAAAAGTTTTTTTTGTTTTGTTTTGTTTTTGGTGGTTGTTGTTTTTCAAAAGGATGAAGTCAATAAACAAAAAAGAACTGGTGGTAATGGAAAAAAAAGAGTCAGTTGGTGCCAATCTACCCATAATTTGCAAGGGGAAATACACTAATGATTGCTACCACATGGCTAAGAGAGAAGCAGAAGACCAGAACAGCTTTGATACACAGTGAACTAAAAGTACTTGCTGAATTAATTAATAAAAAAGAAAAAGATGAAAGATTAAAGCAATTAGAAGACAGTGGATAAAAAAACAGAATGGAAATAAATTCAAAGATTTAACAGAAACTGATTTTCCTGATTCAAAGCAAAACCTGTCTCTGCATGTTAGAAGTGTACAAGTGTCCCAAAAAACTTGATACAGGATAAAAACAGACATATTCTGGTTATGACATTTTAAAACCTCAAGGGAAAAAAAAAGAATTTTTCAGGGAGGAAAATGATTCACTTATTCACTTAGAGATTAGATAAGCCTAGCCTCAGATTTCTCTAGAATATTCAATATAAAAAAATGACAGAAGCCAGGTGTGGTAGCACATTCTTGTAATCCCAGATCTCAGTACTCAGGAGGCAGACACGGAAGTATCCAGAGTTCCAGGCCAGCCTAGGATGCATAGCAAGTTCAAGGCCAATTTGAGCTACATAGCAACATCCTATTTCAAAAAATAAAACTTGGGTTGGAGATGTAGTTCAGTGGTAGAGCACCTGCTTAGAATGCACAGGCCCTGGGTTTGATCCCCAGCACCACAAAAAAAAAGTAACCTACCCAAGTCATCATTCAAATATAATAGTCTACAGGCTCATAATCTTAAACATGAGAGAGTCAAAGGAAAGTAAACTTATAAGTTATTTTTTGAAGAACCTAGTCATAAAAGGAGAAGCTGCAATAAAAGACCTGGTGGTAGGCCCTGATATTGATGCATTGGAAAAATAGATCAAAGATCAATCAATGGGACTGAGTGTATAGGCACTTGCCTGGTAAGCAGAAGGCCCTAAGTTCAAACCTCAGTACCATCAGGATAAAAAAAAAAAAGACTTGAAAGATCAATCAGTAAAAAAAATATTACTTTAAAGGACAATTGTTCTAAACCTTGACAAAAATAACACCGGAACAAACAAAAAAAAAAAAAGGAAAAAAGATAGGAAGGAAAGGAACATAGGGGTGTTTATTTGCATCCTTTTCTAGATAGTCTATAAGTCGATAAACAGGTCTAAGTATATTAGAAGAACTAAAAGAAAACTATAACGAATAAAAATCTGGAAGTAGGAGAAACCATAATGTTAATTTTCCCATCTTTCACAACAGGAAATTCAGAAATACTGAATAAATGTCCTAATTCACAAAAGAGAGTTATGAGTATATAAATAATAACTACTAGAATAACTCAAAAATAAACAATAGAGCTTCCAAATCTAAGAAGGAAAATAACAATGTATGTGCACAAAGAAAAGCAAACCTATATAACAGGGACAGGAAATACTAAAAACTGGGAGAAAAAAACAGAACTAAGGTAACCTGTCAGCGGAACAAGACTCACAGTTTCCATGAACTGTTCTTCCAAAGATGGTAGCAACAATATTTTCCATTTCACACCCTTTTCTAGATCCTTCTTACACCCCTCATCAATAGATGGAGCCTAATTTCCATTCCCTGGAATGTGGGTGGATGGCAACCGTGATATATTGAGGCCTTAGGCTAGACTGTGAAAGAATTCAGCTTAGGACCTGGACCACCCCAAGTAGAGCACTGACCTTCTATGTAAGCAGTCCAACTGCTATAAGGCTACCACACTGTGGAGAGGCCCAAACTAAGCCATGTGGAGAGGATGCTGGAGCTCATGATGAGGAAATGTCTTGCAGTCCCCCAGCCACTCCTACCACAGTCTGACTGCAACTACTCAAGACCCGAAGCCAGACTCTCCAGCAGAGCCCTACCAAAATCCCTACACACAGAAATGGCAAGGTAAAATGTTGTTGTTCTAAGCCACTAAGTTTTGGGGTGATCTATTCTACAGCAACCAGTAACCAGATAACCAGATAAGGTTACTACCCTACATTTTCAGGAAAGACCACTCTGTAATAAGAACTAGTAGCATGGAAATTTCCTGTTCTTAGAGAACAGGGGAGCTGAGAAGCAGAACTTGGGACACATGAGATGAAGCTGTCTATTCAGGATAGGTCCCTAATGCTAAGAGTACAGACAGCTACTAATTATAATTACCTAGCAGACCTTTCAACTACTCACCAACCACTGACACTGCACTGATACTCACCAACCACTTTACTCTGAAGGAGAAGAGAGCACTAAAGGCAAATATCACCCACAGTACTGGACAGGCAATAAGTCCTAACCAAAAGATTCTTGATTCAGCCTCTGAAACAGTTTTATTATCTTGAGACGTTGCCTACAAAAATAAGTAAAATAAATTCATTCATTACTATCGTGAGATTTATCAGTCTAACATTTTAAATAAACCTACATTACCCTCAAATTCAAAGATTAATATAGATAATCCAAGTCCCAAATTAGAACCAAAAATCAAATTAGTGGCTCCATGCCTACTGTAATCTTAGTGAATGATTTTGCTTCAGTTCAAGAATTTTGCATTTTTAGGGCAGAATGGATAGTTTATGCCATGACCCGAAATAGGAAAGATTGCTCTTTGGTAGGATCCACTCAATTCTTCTTGCACATGTACTATTTATTCATGAAGCTTTGCATGGCACTTTTTTGGGTGAGGATTAAGGAAATCAAGGTTACAGTCATTCTAAAGGTCAAGTCAGTGTCCAGAGTGGGGGAAAAAGGGAATCAAGGGACTTACGACAATACCCAGTAAACCCCAGAATTTACAAGGGTGGTGAGTTGTTTCCAAGGTAGATTTTACAATATTAAGAAATAAAGATGGGTGCCATGGCTCATCCTTGTAATCCTAGCTACTCAGGAGGCAGAGATCAGGAGGCTCGAGGTTCGAAGCCAGCCTGGGCAAATAGTTCCACAAGACCCTATCTCAAAAAACCCTTCACGAAAAAAAGGCTGGTGGAGTGGCTGAAGGTGTAGGCTCTGAGTTAAAGCCCCAATACTGCAAAAAAAAGAAAAGAAATAAAGGTTCACTGGCACAGTTACTACTTTCTGAGCAGTATTACTTGTCGAGGCCCTTTCAAGCAGAAGGCAAACAATTTAATTGGTACTATTTCCAAGATTCTGGTCCTCTATCTCCCAAACTGATTTCCACTGGGAAATGGAATATTTACTATAAAGTAGGCTAATCCAAAATAAACAAGGACTCTCCAGGACTCTTGAGGGCACATACTTAAAAAATATGTTGATCATTCAGATTTTCTATCCAGATGGAACTCTTTTTTTCTGCCCACAAGTGGAAGATGACCATGGGAACAAAGACAGGAGAAAAAACTGGAAGCAGTTATCTGCTGGGCATAGAAGGATCTATGGTGATACTTGACAAGGTGACAAAGTTGGGGCCAACAGAAAGAGATCTTCTATCAGCAACCCAGTAGGCAGCTTAGCATGCTGTCCTCTCTCAGAGGACTCTGTTCTTTATGTGTTTCCAGTCTGAACCAGTCAGAAAAATGTATTAAGTATTAGAAAGCCATAGGGTTTAGTAATGACATGGTAACTGACTTGGAGTAGTGCTTTTGATCTTGAGTACTTCATCCTTAAACATTCAAACATGATCTACACATAGTTTATCAGATTACGGTATTTAAAAAAGAAGACGGCAGTTACCTTTCTGGACTCAAACACCCAGTGGCTCTTTCCATCCTCATCAATATGATTCCACCAACGTAGGCCAACCATTAGTCTACCTGTAACATTCTGGAAAAGATTAACATAATCGGACACATTTTTAAAGCATTATAAAGTCGTATCTTAATGTACCATTTCATAGAATTCTTCATCTTTATCTCTATATTAGCCAACAAAAACCGCTGCAATCTGGCAAGATTAAACAAAATGGCTCTGGCATGATCAGCAGGCATGGGGCTTTTAGGGTACACAACAGTCTATAAACTTTCTCCTCTCTCTTTTCCCTCATGAAAACTTGTCCTTTCTCCAATTTCCTATTTTTCCCCTTACTCTTCGGTCACTGTGACCTACCTTTTCCCACATATCCTGACTATACAGCTACATATATTTTAAAGTCATACATCTTACAAATGCTTATAGGCACTGGACTTCATTCAGTCCCTCAAATGTACCACGTTCTCTTTCTGTTTATTAATGTAACAAGTTATTTTGACAATTTTCATAATATTTATTTAGTAAACATTTCCTGCACACCTATAAGACATTGTTAAAAAAATGATGACTAATAGACCTGTGAGCATAAACCTAGATGGAAAGCTAGATCTGGGGGTCAATAAGTGTTGTGGGGAGAAAGGAGGTCAACCAATGCTCAAATGTACCATTACCAACTGTGGTAAGTGCTATCAATAAAAAGTATAGTATACTTCAAGACTTTTAAGAGTATAACAGGGCCATTTGATCTTGTCTGGGTATCACAGAATGACTTCCTCACGAATCAACATTTAGAATGAAACCATGGACAAATGGGAATTAATTATACATGGGGTGTTTAATTAGTGTTATCTACTAACAGATTCAGGGATTCAGAGGTTCTGTCAACTCGGACAGGGAAAAATTTACTTTCATTACCTTCTAGCTGACATTTAGCACAGGTTTAACTCATGGATGTAGACAATAAGCCATGAATTTAGGTAGAATTAACCAAAACCCGTGATCTCATCACAGTAAGACCCAGGTATTTTTCATCTTGTATTCCACTTGTTGCAGATATCCCAAAACCATTGTTTATGCTCATCACTGCTTTGAAAGTAGTTATTAGACCTGCTGCTAAATCATACTATTAATGTGATCATAAGAAGTACACATTACTAAACACAAATTTACCTTTCTAATATTTTAAATTATACAGTCTATGTTCTCCATATACCAAAATCAGCAGATGCTCAAATCCTTTATGTAAAACAGCATATATTTGCATAGAAGCTATACACATCCTATTTACTTTAAATCAGCTCATACAAAGTAAATGCTATGCAAACAACTGTTATACTATATTCTTTAGGGAATAATGACAAGAAAAAAAGTCTGTACATGCTTAGTACTGATGCAATTTTCTTTTCTCAGATAATTTCAATCCACAGTTAACTGAATACATAGATGCAGAACTTACAAATGAGAAACCCATGGGTAATTTATTTGGATTTTCTTCACTGTGATTTTAATCAATTTATGGAAACTCTCCCCAAGCACAAACAAAAAGGTATTATATCTGCACATCGAAAGTTCTAAATACTGCTACTAATTGGCCCTGTTAATTATTTCTTTTAGATTCTTTAGAATGTACTGTCATTTTGATCCATTAGACTGCTATCACAATAATGTTTTTCCCATTTTCTCCTTGTACTTCTACTGTCTTTCACAATATAGTTTGATAAAACTTAATTCTCTGATTTCCGCTGTGATTCATAAAATGAACTTTTTGTTTTACTTTGTTTTTTAACCTTATTTCTATTTTGTCTAATAATAATATCATAATGCCAAGTTTTGTTTGGTTTTTTCTGGATTGGTCTAATATTATCTTTGCTTTCTTTTATTTTCTCTAATGTCATTATTTTAGTTAGACTTTATTTTTGACCCAAACTCAGAATTTTTATATTTACAATGGGAATTTAATCAAATTACATTTACTATTGTAACAAACTTTCTATCACTTCCATCACCTTGCACATGGGCTTCCCTGACACTTCTTTGTTTTCCTTCTTTTGCTGTATGAACTATTTTTGTTACTCCTATCTTCTCCAATGTTATAGAATACACACAACTTCTTTTAAATTTTACTAATAGTTGCCATTAAAATTTTAAAAGCATTATTTAACCTTTTTACTCTATTTGTCAAACAGGAATTGTAGTAAGGAGGAGGAGCAGAAGAAAACAGATTAGGCCTGAGTTCTGATAAAGTAGCAGGGAGGTAGGGATGGCATAGCAGAGAGATAAAAACTAAGAAATCTGAATGTGGAGAGGGTCACGTAACATTGGGGGTGGAAAGAGGAGGGAACATTACGTAGCACTAGGGTAAAGTAGCCTATAGAATTGAATATAACCAGACATGGATTAGACCTTGCTTTTTGTTTCTGTAACCTGCTTGCAAGGATAGATATATAAGGTGAGACCCCTTTGTTCTCGGGGCATGGCCTTTGGACATGAGTCCACTGAGTCTGTGCTGGCACAATAAATTGCTGCTTCCTGTGTAACTGCCTCAGTGTCCTGTATTTCAGCTTGTAATTTCCCATAACAAGACAATAAAAAAATACCAAAATAATAAAAAAGCTGTAACATTTAAAAATATTCTCCAAACTATTCACCCTTCTTCACCTTTTCTTAGACTTCATTAATACCACACGAGGGTTTACAAAAAGATTGTCTCTCTTTTAAAAAAATTAAATATTTATTCTCTCTTTTCAATTCTAGCTGCATTAAGATTTATGATTGTAACATACCTCTATTTCAACTAGTTTCAGAACCCTGCCTAACCCCCTTCCTAAGTCCATTTAATAATTCTCTGTTCTTAACTTCTTAATTTTGCTTCATATCGCAATCATTTGGATAGCTATAAGGAATTCTGCCCAGGATAAATGCATGGCATTTTTTAAGTCCTTGTTTAAAAAAAATACCCTATCAGAAAATGTACTATTTGGTATAACCCTAAAGGCTGTAACTATGGGTTGAACATCTCTGATCTAAAAATGCAAAATCTGAATTTCTCTGTCCTCTACTGACATAGTGTTCAACTAGTTTCAGATTTTGAATGTTTCATATTTCACATTTCCAGACTAGGAATGGCCAACATGCAAAATCCATGCAAATATTCCCAAATCCAAACAACTCTGAAATTTGAAACACTTCTGGTCCTGAGCCTTTTGGGTAAGGAATAAACCTGCAAGTTTGGAAAGTCACAAGAAGGCTTTGTTCTATTTAGCTGAACAACTAATAGCATGAATAACAAAGAGAAACATTCATGGAAACAAATCTGTGACAAGATACAGTAAACATTTTAGAGCATAAGCAACAGAAGAAATTAAAAGAAATGAAAGTCACAAGGAAGAGTACACAAAAGAAAAACCTAAAGAAAACAGACCTCTGAAATCTTCCTTCTCACATTACGTGGCCTATGGAAACTGGCCACCAGTAAGCTAACCCCTACTGATATCTGTAAGAATTTTCTTTTTGGTCTATCAGTATACTGCCTCTTAGATTGCAAAATTTAATTTTTTTTTTTTGCCTTTGATTTTTTTCCCATGATTTTACTATGAAAAATTTCAAACACATAGAAAAGTAAAAGTTTACAGAGAATACCTAACTACCTATCACCCTGCGTGTATACTCATTATATTCCAATACATACGTATTCATCTGTCTATGTATCTATCTACCCATCATTGGCTTTGACTTTGAGACCACTTCTTAAAATGCTTCCTATCCCTCTACAGCAGGGTTTCTTAACCTTGACACAACGGACATTTTGAGCTGGGTAATTCTTTGTAGGGGCTGTCCTGTACACCTTAAGATGTTTAATAGCATACCTGGCCTGTACTCACTGAATGCATGTCCCCTGCCCCCACCAGCTGTCACACATTGATAAATATCCCATGTGTGTGTTTGGGGAGGGGAGAGGGCAAACTTGCCCCCGGTTGAGAAAAAAATGCCATAGAATACCCATAGGCACTATTTATGGACAAAGTATATGGAGTTTTATTAGAAATTATACACAGCACACTTGCAAATGACCCTGAAGTAAAACCAGTGATAAGGATTAGAAGCAGTATGTGGGGTCTATGGCTGCTAGGAACATTAACAGCTTGACATATGACACAGACAATTCATGAGTGTAACAACCTGCATGTGATCAGATAGATCCAGCACTTTAACACAGATAAGGCCTGAAGTAACAAAAAGATAATTATCAAACCAAATTGCTAAGTCTCATTTTTTTTTACTGTTTACACATTGCTCAAACTTATATCAAACACAATTATAAAATAAAAACAACTGAACCTACCTTCACTGCCCAAAAGTCACATGACAATAACAAGATAATTGTCACCATGCAGGCAATAAAGCTGCTGCTGAGCAATTCACAGAGAAGATAGACTACAATGGCACTGACTCGAAAGAACAAATGGAAAAATGAAGCCACTGGATGTCTGAAAACCAAAGCATAATAAAAGAAATGTGATTACATTTTACTATAAGAACTGACAGATGTAAATGAAAAACATTTTAGCTATGGCAGAACTATGTAGTTCTGTCAAAATAAAAGAGATGACTTGAAGAAGCAAATTGCTTACCTCTCCTTTTTTTCTTAAGTCCCCCTACTTAAGTAGACCCTGTTGTCGCAGAAAATATACTATGTAAACACGACTTGAACTCCTCATTGAACAAAAACTTTCACAAAACATATGATGAACTTTATCTTGGACTATCAAATCATGCCAAAAGAAATCGTGTGGCTCAAGTGTTAAAGTGCCTGCTTAGCAGGCGTGAGACTGAGTTCAAACCCCAGTAGCACCAAAAAAAAAAAGGAGAGAGAGAGAGAGAATTTATTTCAAGCCATTCAGGGATTAAGGCAAAGTCACCTTCAGGTACTTTGCTGTTTCTGTCCCCTCTCCAGAGGGTCTCACTATGTAGCCTAGACTGACTTTGAACTCAGAATTACAAACCTGATTTTTGGTTTTTGTTTGCTTCTTTGGGCAACATTGGAGTTTGAACTCCAGGCCTTAGGCTTACTAGGCAGGTGCTTGATTACTTGAGCCATGCCCCAAGCCCTTTTTACTTTAGTTATTTTTTGGATAAAGTTTCACATTTTTTGCCCAGGCAGCTTAGACCACGATCCTCCTACCTACACCTCCCATGTACCTGGAATGACAGGTACAGGCCACAATGCCTGGCTTACTGGTTGAGGTGGAGTCTCACTAACTTTTTTTGCGTGTGAGTAAAGCAGGAGAGTTTACTGAGATAGAAAAGTGTGTAAAGTGGGAGAGCAGAACCCCCAGAGTTGGGGGAGGGGGTCCCAAAGGGGGCTGCCCATCACTAACTTTTTTTTTTTTTTTTAACCAGGGCAGGCCTCAAACCAAGATCCTTCCAATCTGTCCCGAGTTGCTGGCATTAAAGGTATGAGCCACTATGCCCTGGCCTTAGTTTTTGTTTTTTAATAGCTTTACTGAGATATGATTCAAATACCATAAAATTCACCTATTTTTTTTTTTTTTTCTGGGTCTACTGGGGTTTGAACTCAGGGCTTCACGCTGGCTAGGCATGCACTCTACTGCTTCAACTACTCTGCCAGACTTTTTTTGCATTGGGTATTTTCAAGATAAGGTCTCATGAACTATTTGCCCATGCTGGCTTCAAACTGAGATCCTTCTGATCTCTACCTCCTGAGTAGCTAGGATTACAGGTGTAAGCCACAGGTGCCCAACTCAACTTACCTATTTAAGGGTACAATTTAATAGTTTTTAATATATTCATAGAGTTATATAACCATTGCCACAATCAATTTTATTTTTCATCACTCCAAAAAGAAACTCTGCCCACTGGCAATCATTTCTCATTTGCCCACAACCCCTTTAGCCCTAAGCAACCAACAATCCTTTGTGCCTACAGATTTCCTATTCTAGACCTCTTGTATAAATAAAACAGCACAATATTTGATCTTTGGTAATTGGTACTGTCCACTTAGCAAAATATTTTTTCAAGATTCAGGCAGAATTTTATTTTGTTAAGTGAATTTCTCTAGACAGAACTAAATTTAGCAGTGTTTGGTTCGGTAATTTCATGTTATTTATACAAGATTTAACTTTGGCTGCTCTGCAGATGCTGTCCTGAACCTACCAGCACCAAAGGCATGGCCACTCTGCTGTGCCCGTGACCTGGGGCGAAAAGCAAGTGCTATTTCTACACTCAGCATTAAGAAGCCAGTGAGCACTAAGAATGGTTTATAGCCTGACATTTCATCGGGGGGAGGGGGAACAGTGTAACTCTGAAATTTGCACACTAAATCGAATGTAATGCATCTATAGAAATTCAACACCCATGTTCATATAACCAGATTTGCTGATTTGAAAACGCAGTATAGAATAAAATGCTCTATGTCAATTATTCTCATTTCCTTTGCCTCATACTAAATCAGGCAAGCAACAGACAATTCACAACCACACTACAAATACTCTACCTTGAATCCTGTTAAAGTTTGAATATGAGATGTTCCCCACAGGCTCATGTGTTGAAGCATAGGTAATACTATTTGGGGGAAACTTTAGGAGGTAGGGCCAGTTGGAAGAAACTGGAGGCATGTCCTTGGGGCAATGTATTGCCTTGGTCCCCTACTGTACTTTTCTCTGCTTCCTGGCTGCCATGGTGAAAAGCTTTCCTCCACTACACTTTTCCACCATGATGTACTCCCGTAGTACAGGCCCCAAAAACAGAGCCAAGTGACCATGGACCAAAACCTTTGAAACCATAGGCCAAAATAATTTTTCCTCCTTTGTTTTGTCAGATATTTTTTCATAGCAACAAAAACTCTAAAACAAATCTCATCAGCTACCACCAACGTATGGACAGAACAGACTGCTACTAAGATGACATCTAATTTATCCTCATACCTGATTCTGGATTTTTTTGGTCTATTAGTTGTCTCCTCTTCTGCATCAAACAGTGAAACGTCTTCAGTGTCATCATTACTGTCCTAGTAGGAAAATTAAATATCCATGAAGCAAAACGAAATTCAGTATTCATATGCCTACTACATGCAAGGCTGCACTCATCAAAATGGAAGATTAAACTATGAAAAGGTCACAGCCACCAGGAATTCATAAGCTAGGAAAAGGGCATGTGCAGATTCTCTTCCCCAACTCCAATCATCTGACAAATACCGTAAGTAACCCAAAAATCACCTGTCTCCCCACTCCCTGGCCCTTGGGCTGCTAAGCCCTGTGAGAAAACACTGGGGTGCAGAAAAGGCACCTGCAAACTGACATCTACTCTCAGCTGCTCTCTCCCAAGTCACAGAGAAAACTGAAGTTATTAGGGATAAACTCAATGTTTTTGGCTCCCTCACAAAACTATCTGACTGTATCCTTGTTTCCATGACTCCTTCTCACAATGCTTTCTTCTCTTCTTACCCAAACCTAAACCAACAATTTGAGCTTGGACTCCCTTTTTATCATGTGTCCTCAGGGGGTTTGTTCCATCACTTTCCCCTTTACTTACACCTTCTAGATGTTTCTATTGGGTCTTCCTAATCAGCTTATAAAAATTCTTCAAGTGCCACTTGAAGATTTGAAAATCCCTGCATCTCCCCTTCTATTTTCTACATTTCCATGGCATTCCTTTCTTTTACAGGCTTCTAAGAGTGGCTCACACATCAACCCATTTTAATTTCCCCTCAGCCCCAACCACAGAAACCCTGCTCATTGTGCCTCCCTCCCCCCACCACAGCCTACCTATCTTTATTTCTGGTGTCACCTCTTCTCTACTTCAGCCTCGCTCTCATTTACATTACTCATAGAATAACTATCCACTATGAAAATCACACCATGTCACTACCTTGTTCAGATTTTCAATGGTGCTCCTCCATGAACAGGGTAAAATAACTCCTTCACATAAAGCGTAAGTTACATGATGTGATCCCTACTTTGCCTGACACTCCCTCCCACTGCACACTGCAGCAATGCTGTTACTACATGGTCTCTCCCATCTTTCTGTCTTTCACATGTTTTCTCCACTCAGCTCTTTCCTTTCCCACCACCTACCTAACTCACCATTAAGCAAACGACAAAGTTTCAGCTCAAACACTGAAACAGCTGAGAAATCCCCATGTCCACAGCACTTGAACAAATCTCCATTTCAGTTTTCACAGGATATTCTTATTGCAAGACTTCTCCCTCCTACCTCCATCTAGACTTAGCTGCAGAACAAGGACTTCCTCCATTGCAGTAAGTCATAGGGTCTAGCAGAACACTCGGTCAACATTATTTGCTGAAGGTGTGAAAGAATAAACAAGAGAGGCAATTGCAGGGAATACTAGAAGAAATATAAGTGTAAATGGGAGTAAAGGGCAGAAGGATAAGTATTTTTACTAGAGGGCTCTGGAGAAGCTTCCTGAAAGTTTATCAGCCAGGCCTTGACAGTGCACACAGGCCTCCTGCTTACCCTAGTCTCTCTAACTAGATGTTTTCAAAAGCACAGTGGAGGAATTTACAAAGATATGTTGAGAATGGCCAAGCAGCCCATATAGTAAGAGAAGGATGGGAGAATCAGAGAAGTTAAAGCTGGAAAAGATAAAATGGATTCAGGTCTGTGGTCAGTGGTTCTCAACCTTGACTACTGGAATGCTTAAAAAAACTAACAACAAACTGATAATCTGAGTACCACCTCCAGAAGTTGAAACATAATTGCTCCAAGGTATGGCCTGACCATCTGATTTTTGGTTTTTGTTTTTTTCCAATGCTGGGGCTCAAACCCAGGGCCTTACACGTAGTAGACAAGTGCTCTACTACTGAGTTACACTCCCAGCCTAGCATATGGATTTTTAAAGTTCCCCAGGTGATCAATATACACAGCCATTGTATGATGCTGTGGAATAAAAAACAGAGGCCTCTATTCTTGATCCAACGGTCTAGTCTTCATCCAGCAGAGCCTATCATTTCCCTACTGAAAATTCATAGAACTCTGAAAAACAGACTCCTTATGATGACCTATCAGGATGTGACCCTACTCATCTCTAACACCTCCTCCCACTTCTGTCAAAGGTACAGCCATCCAGGTTCTAAACCTGAGAACCTGTAAATAGGTTAAATTACTTGGCCAAAAAAAAATTTCTACAACTGTGGTTTAATTAAGGTCTTGAGATGGGGAAACTTTAAATTACCCACATGTAATCACAATGAACCTTTAAGGAGGGCCACAGGAAGGCTGGTGGAGGGGCTCAAAGTAGTGGTAGAGCATCTGCCTACAACATGTGAAGCGCTCAGTTCAAACCCCAGTACAGCCAAAAAATAATAAAAGAGTGACAACACAGGAGATGATGAGACAAGCATTTGAATATGCTATGCTGATGGCTTGAAGCCAGAGAAAGGGACAACTAGCATAGGGAAGGAATGCAGGCAGTTTCAAGAATCTAGAAAAGGCAAAAACAGACTATTCCTAAAGCATCCAGGAGTAAAGACCTGCCAGATTTCAGACCCTTAAGCCTTAATTTGAACTTCTGACTGCTAGAACTATAAAATAATAAATTTGTTTCACAACACTAAGCTTATGGTAATTTGCTACAGCAGCAACAGGAAACTAAGCTCCTGCCAGATTGGCCTTAAACTTGCCAAACTTTGCCACATTGGGTCCTTTGCACTTGTGGATCATTCTACCTAGAACAGTCTTCTCTTTTACCTTGCTCTTTGAAAAAATAGATTTTTCTCATTTACTCAGTAAAGACTGAACTCCTACTAAGTGCCAAGCACTAGTACAAGAGGTTCAGACATAAAATGATTTTTTAAAGAGGAATACTTTTGCACTCTTGGAGTTGCACTTACTAAGACAGAGAAGACTATGAGCACAACAGATTTGGGGGCAAAATCAAAACTTTGGTTTGAACATATTGTTTAAGATGGTCGTATAAAAACCCTTAAAAAACGAGAGAGGTAGTGTTCTGAACATAGAGCTGACACATTCTGATGCACAAGAAAATCCTGGCAAAGCATCTACAGGGTAGGGGAGAAACAAAGGCACAAAGCTGGTTAGGAGATACTCCAATAATGCAGCCAAAACCAATGGATTGGTCTAGGGTAAGTGCAGTGGAAATGATGAAAAGTGGACTGAGCCTGAACATGTTTTAAAACAGAGCTGACAGGATTAGCCAATTAAATGTGGCGGCAAGAGAAAAGGAGTCAAAGAAAATTCCAAAGTTTTTGTCCTATGCAGCTAAAAGGATAAAGATGCTGAAGTCAGACTCTGGATACTCCAATAGATTTAGAGATTAGAAAAGTGGTGACCAAGATGGAAGTTCTAGGGAGTGGAAGGTGACCCAGGATACAGTGGTGTCCTGGAAGTTCCATGACGTGTTTTCCGGAGCATCCATCAGAAGCATCCATCAACTGTGTCAACCGCTGATCACAAATAAGATGAAAGCCAAGAATGACTATAGTATGTTTAACAGGTCATCAGTGACCTTAATAAGAGTAGCTTCAGAACAGCAGCGGGGAATGAGGAAAACACTGACTAGAACTGATAAAAAACAGAATAGAAGAATTAGGACCAAGTATGGACCGGTCTTTCAAGGAGCAAAGAATGGGGCAACAGCTGTGGGGTGGAGTTATTCCCTAAGATAGGAAAAAGTAAAGCATATTTATATACTGATATGGACAATCTTTTCAAAAGGACAAAAAAAAAAAAAAAAAAAAAAAACCACCGGGCAGTTCAAGAAACAGCACTGCCCAAACAATGCTTTCTAGTAGGCAAGGAGGAACTGAAGCCAGTGCATGGAGGGGGTACTTAAGAATGGAGCAGGCAGTCTGATTATAATAAAAGAATATATGAGTGGTTATGGGCAGAGATGCAAGCCGGTAGGCCGATGGTACAGAAATTCCTTTCCAATGGCTTCTATGTCTCAGTGAAACAAGAAGCAAGGTTATCAGTTGAGAGAAGAGAGGAAATGTTGACGATTTCAGAACTTTGAACAAGTTGTCTAGGAAGGTGGGAAGCAGGGGAGGGAATACTATGACTATATACGGTCACATGGTCACAAACCAGTTGGCACAGCTGTGTCTTCCTCCAGCCTCAGCCTGGATGCACATTCAGAGCTGAGTTTAAGCCACCAGTGGATTTTCTCCAGTCTGATCACCTCCTCGCAGTGGTCTTTTCTGACTATAAATACTAGTTGCCCCATCCTCAGATACTTGCTGTTTCACCACCCTGTCTTTACTATTACGACCAAAAAATATCTGGTTATGTAATTTATCATGCATGTCTCCCCTACTCATGTCCTTTGCAGTCCCAAATCCTCGAAACCTCCAGCAACCCTGACAATGCAGGGCAAGAAATCTGTCTGTACTGTTCAGTCCTATTCCTGGACCTAGATCAGTGTCTGAGTCATAGCAACCCCTCAGTAGGTTAATAATAAAATGAAATAAAACATCACAAGATAATCGAATAGAAAATTCACAATCGACAGTAAATGACTCTTTTAAAGAAGAAATGAAATTACCCTTACTAATCGCTACATGAAAACCAGCTCAAACGTGACAACGTCATCGGTGTTGGTGTGGGAACAGCAAGTTGAGGGCCCGGCGCCGGCGGGGTTTCCCATCCCTACAGGACGGCCGCGCACCCCGAATCAGGCCACCAGCAGCTGAGAGGCGCGCTGAGGGTTCCCCGTCACCCCGCCCGAGCACGACCGGTGGGGCAGGGAGGGGGGAACCACCCCAACCTCACACCCGAGCGCACCGGCGGCCCAGCACGGCCCCCGCCGGCGCCCGGCGTTTGTGGACAACCGGCTTCTCCGCAGCCCCGAGCTCGCGGTGCCCAGCGCCTTCAAGGGTCAACCCTCCACCGACGCCCCCGGAGCGCCCAGAAGCCCTCTGGGGACAACGGCCCTCCACTCCCACCGTCCACCTCGCTCTTCCTCGAGCTCCGGCAGTGGGCGGGGACGCCCCGCTCTTGCCCCACGATCCTGGCAGGCCCAGCGCCAAAGCGCCGCTGCCCTCTCCCGGAGCCCATTACCCTCACCTGCGGCAACATGGCGGCCCTGCGCCAGCCCCACTTCCGGGAGCCACGTCAGCGCAGCAGCCGCCAAGTCCGGTCTGCAACTGACGCAGGCTCGTCACCACAGGCCAGGAGCGGCCAGTACACTAGCCCTAGCCTGGCTCTACTTCCCCGACACACTTCCGCTTGGAGGAGTCTCCCGTGAGGAGCAGTTCCGCGGAGTTGAAAGAGCGACGGGCGGGCGGGGCGGCCGGGGCGGCCGGGGCGGCCGGGGGGCGGGGCGGGAAGCGCGGACTCAGGAGCGTGGTCTGATCCAAGAAGAGGTGAAAACCCGCTAGGAAAGGAGCCGGATACCACACTGGGCTCTAAGGGAAAGATTTGTGTTTCTTATGGGGAAATGTTTTTTGTTACCTATAAGGTGCAAAAAGCCATTCCCGCCAGCGAGGTTGCCCTGAGTGCGAGAGGCGGGGCACATCTCTTAACTTCGAATATCTTACAATGACATGTATTCCTGTACCGCATTTTTTAATCACTTCTTTTTCGGGGGTTGGGGGAAGGGTGGCACTGGAGTTTGAACTCACATTTGCTAGGTAGGCGCTCTACCACTTGAGCCACTCCGCCAGACCTTCTACAAAGTATTACTTCTGCGCTTTACATTTATTTTGCATTATCGGATTTGAACTCAGGGCCTTGCGCTTGCTAAGCAGGCGCTCTACTGCGTGAGCCAGGCCCCCCAGCCCAGAAAGCTGTTTTAAATATACTCGAGGAGGTGTGAAAAGTTAGTAAGAACAAGGCAGTTCAGCATAAGCAATGGAGGGCACTATTGTGGGAGGCAAATACCCTGAGACCCTAGGAAACTAGGGATTGAAGTTGATACCTCCTGCAGGGTTGATACAACCTTGGCAGTTGAGCGCCTGGGTTTCAGCCCGTCCTCTGCTATCAATTAAATAACCAGCCTCTATGAACTTTCCTTAATCGAAAAGTGGGGATAACCTTACTTAGTAAATAAATGGGAGACAATTTTATCGCTATTTTAAGTCCAGCTTCTAGTGATCTTGCCTGGACCTCAAATTCACGGGCTTTCAAGTCATCTTTTTTGGAGCTGTGATGATAGCTGTATTCTACCTGCTCCACCTAAGTCAAACTGCTGTCTGGGAAGATCATGTGTATGTGTACTCCACATTTCCTTAATTGAAGGATTCTTTGCACTAAAACAGATTTCACATGGGTTTTTGCCAGTGCTATTCCAGGCTTAATATCCAAATAGTGAAGAAGCACTGTATGTTTGTTGGCTCACCCAGTGTCGTGGGGTTTTGTAGAGTTGTCTTTTTGTTGTTTTTACTTTTGATATGCATTTAATTTAAATTCATTACCATCCTTTAAAAAGAGTATTTGACAGGGGTTGGGGATTTAGCTCAGTGGAAGAGCGCTTGCCTGGCAAGTGTAAGGCCCTGAGTTCGGTCCCCAGCACCGGAAAAAAAAAAAAAAAAAAAGAGTATTTGACAGAAAAGTCAATTGCAGGCTTTGGACTTTTTCCTAAAACCATGTGCTAACAGCCCGGACTGGCCTCAAACTCACTCTGTAGCCCAGGCTGGCTTCAAACTTTACCCCTTCTGCCTTAGCCTCCTGAGTGAAGTGCTGGACTCACATGTGTGTGTCATCATGCCCAGCTCTGGCTTTTCTTCTTTTTTTTGGAGGGAGTACTGGGGATTGAACTCAAGGCTTTGTACTTGTGAGGCATGCACCCTACCATTTCAACCATGCCTCCAGCCCTTGGCTTTTCTTAAAGAAGCAAAAGATTTGGGTGTGCTGGGCCTCTGAGGAGGAGCTATCCTCTTTGTATAGGGCCTGAGCTCTCCAGTGTACCATAGTCCCCAATGTGGGCTACTCTCCTCTAAATTACCTGCCTTGTCCCTAACACCACCCTCCAAAGATTTAAAAAGAAATCTCAAAACACTTAATATTAATGGCCCTCTTTATAGAAAGGATGAATTTGCTTAATTCTGTTCCAACAGAGTTAATTCTGAGAAGGAAAAGCATGCAAAATATTCTCAACCATTGAGGGCCTCCTCATTCTTACCTGAATGGACTGAGTTCCTGGGCTTCTATGCAAAAATCACAGGAAACACCAATGTATTATCCTGATATAATCCCACCACTAAATTTGCTGGAAGAAATGATAGCACTAAATCGATACCGATAAATGGTACCCAATTTCCAGTGATCACTTTCTTGCCCCCTCGTCAATGAAATTGGACTTTCCTAGGTCTAATGGAATGGTTTCCAGTGGGAACACAGATACCAATCTCTCCCTGCCTCCTTCTGTTTCCTTACTGTAATAATATCAACTCTTTGGCTCATAGGAAGATAATTAGGAGTTTCCATGTTAATTGCCAGGGAATTCTCAAAAGAGGGGGGAAATAAAAAAAGGGAAAAGGTCAAACACCAACAAACATTTGGTTTTCTGTTTGTTGTAAGACATTGCAGTTCCCCAAGGCTGGTTTAGATAAATACATTTTGTCCGAGTTCAGGGGCTGCTATTTTCCCTCGCTTCATGAAATTATCAATAGGCAGACCTTTAATCTTCCGGATCCATGCAGTTTTACTGTCTTTTCCCGCATCCACTGCTCTGGTGGACTCACTGGCCTGATACTCCTTCATCTTGGCTTCCTCGTACTGTTTCTCCTCTTTCACAGTCAATAGCATGAACTCGTTGTGCATTCGGAAGGGATCCAGGGTGGTATAGAAGCGAGACCGTTCTCTCTTGAGCGCTAGGGTGTCTATACACACTTGTGGAGTTAGTATCCGGCTGGGTTTAATGACCTGCATGCTGGTCAGGGGGCCCATACTGCGTACTGCTCCATCAATTGAACTGGTCAACTGTTCTTCACCCTTTAAGCTGCCAGGGAACTTGGAGCGGATAACCATGGGCTGGGGGATGGTAGACTGAACTCTGGGACTGTGCAAAGATTTTTTCAAGTTGGGCTGCAGTTTCTGGATTTCAAGGGGAGTTTTGGTTTGCTTCACATCTATGGGAGGATTGCTGCATCTCAACCGATCAACTTCATGTTGCATTGTTTTTCCTTTGAAATTTAGGACCTTCCTTGGGTATGAAATTGAAGGTCCCCAGGCATCAATGACTTGGGTTTGGGGCCTGTGTGGATAGGCAAATTCCCCGGAATTATGGGCTTGTTGCAGGGCACTGACAGTCAAGAGGAACCGGTCAGGTGATATAAAGGTTTTCCAAAACTTTTTCTTTGAGAGACTGAACAGTTTTACAGGAGTTTCCACATCATCTGCTTTTTCCAGTAGAAAAAAAGAAAACAAGAAAAATGAAAAATATTAAGTACTTATGCCTGAAAGTTGAAGCCACTCTAACTGCTACACATACCAAGGTCTTGTTGCCGAATAGACATGCCATCATGTAGTTAAATGTTCCTGATGACATCAGACATGGTGACACCAGAAATGACTTAACAAGTTTTTAACAAATGTGCTAGTACTTATGTAAAATGTGTACTAGTCTCTAACTGTACATATTCTGAAGAAACATATGTGATACCAATGTTTCATATGCTTCTGAAGCTTCCCTGTGGAAATGATCTTTACATCTCATTTATGACTTACATAAAGCAAATCTTATAGATTTATAATAACACACCTACATTTCCAACATAATTGTATCACATGGCTTGATTTCCATTTTATTAATCAGATTTAATCCCAGTTGAAATCTATAAACATTTCCCCAAATCAGAACTGCTTTCAATGAGTATGTCACTACTGGCTAATGTAAAACATCACAATGTGACTAAAATAAGTTCCTAATGATGAGTTCCCAAAATATTTTGAACAACAGCCGTGAGTCCAAAAGCAACTAACCAGAGTAAGAGAATCCTTTTAGACCTCCATGGTGACTAAGACAGTTAACAAAGATATCTTTGCAGGTAAGCAAACCTTTTATATCTCTCCAATTTAGGCTTTTTCTGGTCCCAACAATACCTCACAGGAACACCAAAAACATTATCCTCATTTCCAAACTGAGTCAAGAAAAGTAGAAGTCTTTTGCCTAGACTGGAACATAGCAAGTAAAAGTGAGAGTCTAAACTCCAACTATACCAGCAAATAAAATGCAACCGCGTGCTATGTATTCCCTTGGCCAAATAGATTTTATCTCAAGATGGATGGATTACAGTGGAATGAAACCTCAAATTGTTTCCTGACCTTTACTTCAATATAATTAAACACTGTATAAAGCTGAGTAAATTAAGATTTCAAAATCTTCCATTTGGAATAGGGGGCATGGATCAAATAGTAGAGCTCTTGCCTAGTGAGTGCGAAACCCTGAGTTTAATCCCCAGTGCTGAAAAAAAAAAAATCTAACTTAGAGAACACAGAACTTTCCTCTTTTTATAAAAAGGAATTGTGATGTGTTAGTTGTTCATTAACTTGTCTTTTTTTGCATGATAATATATCTTGCATCTCTTTCCAGGTCAATAAATATAGAGATCTTCATCATATAATTTTTAGCTATCATGTAATATTCTATAGTATAGATTTTTTATTGTCTGTTTAGCCATTGTCCACTGATAGACATTTAGTTTGTTAATGATCAACCTTAAATACATGAAAATAACCATCTTTGCTTATTACATAAGCAAGTATAAGGTGATATGAGAGCTGACACCCAGAGTTGGCATGGATGTGGGAGGGAGTTCTCATGCATTGTTAGTGGGACTATAAGTTGATAACCACATTTTAAAGGACAACCATGGCACTATCTTTCTAGTTTTTAAATGCAGTTACCCTTTGGCACGGCAATGCTACTCCCACAGGTACAAAGATATAGGTATATATAAGGAAGCCCTCATAAAGCTAAATTGTTTTGACCTCAACTTGAAACTAGTCTTGGAAGGGTGTTTATTTCAAAGAAGCACTATTATCCTAGTCAAAAATCTTTGAAAGGCGTTTGAAATTTTTGCCATCTTCCTTTAAAAGCAACAAAGGGATATCCCAAGTCATGATGTTCAACAGCACTTCTTAAAATCTCCATCCCCAAATCTCCTCTCTCATGAAATGCCCCGTAACAACCTTGACCTCCTCTTCCCTCTTTTGCAGTGCCAACTACTCAGATTGATGACACAACAGTGCAAGAAATGAGGAGGCTGAGTGGCAGGAAACAGAGACAGTCAGGAACCAGAGACTGGAAACTCAGAACTTAGGAAAGAAAGCTTTTGCTACGTGGCCCCAAGGTAGTAAGGGGAAAAGAAACCAGTCACTCTTAGAAGAAACTAGAGAAAAACCACTTATTCTTAGAAGGCAGGCATTGTATCCATTCTGAAAAATAAGCAAAAGTATTGGCCTACTGAAAATCAAACTAAAGGAGAAAGACTGAGAGAAAATCATCACCATTCATTTACCTTCAGCCTTGAGTTTTGCTTCCAAATTCTCTTGCCCATCACCCATGTCATTTGCTTCCCTAGGAACAGAATCAGCTCCCTTCTTGCCATTTTTTCGGGGTGATTTGGGCCTTCCTTGTTGTTCAGGTATCTCTAATAACATGGCTAAATTAAGATTGAGGAAGAAACTATAGTCATTATATAATTCAATTAGGTCTGGATAATGGGGGCACAGTAAAAATAATATAGTCAGTAATAATAAGCACTCAAAATTCAACTTATTTTTCACTCAAAATATCACCACATAATTTATTGTCACATGAAACTAAGTAGTAACCTCAAGTCTGAGATCTAGATCACATCCTGATTCCCCTCCCACTCACTTCTCCTACTGATTGGCAAGCTTTAAGCATAAAACTCTTGTTTAGTCAGGCCATAGCTATTTGTAGTGTGATATGCTTAGAGGTAATCTATTGGTGTTCTCTCTAGATCTATGGATCCAATTTCATGCCACATCGAGGGCAGGTAAAAGGAAGGCGTCTTGCCTGTCTAACCCATATATATTTACTCTTTAGATATCATAAATGGCATAAACTATGGCCACATCCCCACCTATGCATTCACACACATGCACACACACACAACCTGATTTGTAACATTTTCCAGGTACACACATTCTCAGAGGTCTGAAGATAATATATTTTGCATAGTTCAATTTTTTAAGCCTATAATAACCTCTTTCTTGTCTCTGAAGCAATAGCTATGTAAATATATGTTTGCATTTGGGAACTGGGGGGGCGTTGGTTGTTTGGTTGTTTTTTTGTTTTGCATTCATGTTTTAATGGCAAATATTAAGGTTATTCTTATGTACAAAGATTCTAGTAAACTTGAAAATGACGTTGTGAAAATCAGAGGATTTCCTTTATCTGGCTACAAATTGTTTGGCGAATCAAGGATAAATGGCTCCCACCTTCCTAAAGGATTAAGATTTATATTGTCAAGAAACCCTTCACTGACCCGGCCCACAAAGACACTGGCCTGGCACCCCCTCCCCTGTTCTACTGGTTCTCACTGAAGTTGCTGCAGTCTTGTTCTTTTACCTGAAGGTGTCTTGGGCGGCTTCACAGGAACGCGGGCCTTGGGAAATTTAGGCACTTGTGACTCCTGGGTCTCAGACTCTTTCAGGCTATAAACCTGAGTGCTAGACTTGGAAGGAATGTCCCCAAGGCTGCTTTCCTCCTTTTCATCCTCTCTATCCTTCTTCTTCTTCTGTTTACTTTTTTCATGGGCATACTGCCACTTCACATGCTCAAAGTTGAACATAAGAATATTGCTCTCTGTGTTGACCACCATCCTGGAACCAAAACAAGATTGGCCACAAAAGGAGCATGGAGGCCACCAAAATATGCATTGCAATCAATGTCCCCTTTCAACCCCAGGCTAAAGGAGCAGTGCCCAGGCAATGTAGGGTGTTGGAGGGTCAGAAGCAGTGAAAGGTGTCAGGGCATGCAGCAGAGGTGGTTAGCTTTATATCTGTTTTCTTTTAAAAAAATAAATGTGAACAGGGCACATATGTTTTGATTGCTTTGCTGCTCAAGTTAAAATACTTCCTCAATAAATTCCCATTCCTGGACTGAGTGTCAAGTATCTCAGGTACCCAAGGCAGAAGCTGAGGTACCCTGCACACTGCACATAGATGTATGGAAATTCACTCCTCCCCTCCCCCCCCGCCCCGCCCTTTTTGGGCCAGCTTCCAGGCTCACTTGTTTCTGTTGCTGTGATGGGGGTGAAACTCCCTACTGAGGAAGCCTCCCTTCCTCTACTGAGTCTCCACACAAAGGCCCCACACGCCTTCACGCTACCCCATTGTCAGGACATACTCAAGATGCAGACAGAACATCCACACCTTATGAAGCAGGGTGGCTTGTGTCTTCCCAAATTCCTACTTTTATGTCCTGGTAGACAAAAAGGTTCAAAACTGGCCCTCCCCACCCCCCAGCACTGCCTCCCACTTCCCATGGTTTCTGTCATTTTATCATTTACACAAAGCAAGCTGCTTTCCCCTGTATCCAGATTAACTGTAAATAAGATACTGAAATATCGTGTATATAGGTTTCATTCCACTCCAAAGGCAATAATTTTAAGATCTTATCTGTTAGTGTAAACTCTCCAGAAAAGTGACTTGTTTGGGCTGGAAACACTGGAATGGAATTTGCGGAATCAGGTTCCATTACAAAATTTTTACTTAAGTCCAATGGAAATCACCTCAGCCAGGCATGGGGGAACATGCCTGTAATCCCAGCACTTGGGAGACCGAGGTGGAGACAGGAGGATCATAAGTTCAAAGCCAGATTGAGAGTACACAGAGACCCTGCCTCTCAAAAAGAAGAAATCATCTCTCTTTGGATGCTATGTATGAAAAAAGGTGAAAGCCATCTGTTTTTGTTTTGATGCTGGAAATGGAACCCAGGGCCTCACCCATGACTAGCATGTGCTGTACCCCTGAACTCCCCAGCCCTTTGCAATATTCTTTACTTCTTAACTGAAAAGCATTAATTTATGAGCTTTATTACCAGCATGCCGTTTTCTTCTAAGCTGACAAATAGTATTAATGGGCCATGTGCTTTAGGGAGATTCTCAGGTGAGCTTAGGGTAGAGTTTCTAAGTGAATTTTATATGGTGATTTTCACATATTGTTACTTCTTCATATAGAAGCACAGTAGCACATACAGTGAGTCAGTCATGGTACTGGTTTCTGTCAACTCACCAGTTTAGTTCTTCCTCGCTGGACCCCCTGCTACTGCCCCCCCACAAAGCCCCTAGAAATCTTTGCATCTGAAGTGGGCATCAGACAGCTGATGGAGCTCTGTGCAGCTGAACATGTGATCAAAGAGAAAGTAGCAGCTACATATCGCAGAACTGTGGTCCTTACAGAAGAGCTGTGTTGCAACCATTGATTTCCCCCAATCACCAAGAACAAGTAAGAGTCAAAATGAACTCTGCTTCCTGAAGCTAAGTTTTGTGCAAAGTCCAGTCAGGGTCCCACAAGATTACTATGCATGACAGCTAAAACAGGAGGGAAGCACTGCTTACTGTCTCCTCCTGCCAGTAAATCCAGGCCAGTATCTCAGAAGAGACAAAAAAAAAAAAATCATCAAAACATCATGGTTCTGACCTCCACACATACCACCCACCTGTCGACCTGATAGAAGAAAGACAGCACAGGGTCACCTCTGGCATCAACTTTTATCACCTTCAGACAGTTCCCGTTGAGGAAACTGTAAATGCGGATTTTGCCATCTGCACAGGCACTGATGACCCGGAGGTAGAGAAGGGCCACGTGGAGCACCTCCCTGGAAGGGAACAGAACAACAGGCAGTACCCACCTTCTAGTAAACTGCTAGGGTTTTGTTGTACTTTGGGGATATTGTGGGAGGTTGGGAGGCAATGACCATAAATGTCCTTGACATAGTGTTTCCATCATTTTATTATTCTAGGTGTCAACCATTAGCTCAGACACACCTCTTCCCATTCTGCAGTTACTGTCTGCAATATGGTCATAGGGGCACAAGGTGGTGAAGAAAAAGGCTGATGTCAAAGGTTTTGGTTTTGGTTTTGGTTTTTTAACAGGAAAAGGGGAGTCCGATGAATAGATGATTGTGTTTTTGTCTTATAATTTGATTCCTGGCTGTTCACTTATGCAAAAGTCATGCTGAGAATCATTTAATGTTTTGATTCCTTTTAAAATGGTATCTATATGTAAGAAAGAAAACACTGGAAGGAAAAGAATTATCTTTATATAAAACAAAAACCTTAAATTTGGACAGTCTCTTTTTGGTCTTAAATTAGTGGCTTTCATTCTTTCAGTGAATGGATGTCCTTGAGGAAAATTGTACCTACCCAGGGATGAGATTTTTAAGTGTCCTTCTGCAATGACCAGTAGGAAAAGGGGAACCAGGAGAAGACTAGGAAAGATGCCTCCATCAATATCCTCACTACAACTGCTGGGTGCAAATCGGACCCCAGATATGTAGTTTATTCATTTCTGACAAATAGAAATCCTGTATTGCTGGGAATGGAGCCTAGGGGATCACATATGCTAGGCAGACCCTTTACCACTGAGCTCCCCACAGCCCTTTGCAGAATTATTACTTCTCACCTGAAAAGATTAATTTACTGAGCCTTTAACTAGCACCCTCTTTTCCTTTTAGATGGTAAACACTATTAGTGAACTTCCATTAAAATGAATGGCACTAAGAAGCTTAATTTAATGCCACCGATTTGTTAGATCCTATATGCAAACTAAGTCCATTAGTCCCTGCCCATCCAAGTCTCCCATGATTTGCATCTGGGTTGAGTTGTGTCCCCCATGTTCATGTGATGGAAGCTTGGTCCCCAAGGTATAGCGTGGAGAGGAATCTTGAAGAGTTGGGGCCTAGGAAAGGGGGTTCAGTCATTGGGGGGGCACTGCCCTCTTAAGAATCCCCAGTTAATAACTGCGAGAGTGGATTATTATAAAGCAAGATCACCTCACACACTTGGCTTTTGCAGACAGCCAGTTTCCTTTCTGTTTCTCCTTTATGCAGCCAGCCAGGCTCTCACCAGAGACTGAGCAGATAAGGCCTCCTGATCATAGCCTCCAAAACTGTGAGCTAAATAAATTCTTTTCTTTGCAAATCACCCAGTCTTGGGTATTTCATTATAGTAGCAGAAAATGAACTAGGACAGAGTCCATGTGTGACCTAGTTCACATGCTGCTTCTCCAAAAACACAGATGTCACTCCATCTCCTTCCTCAGATGTGTACACAAACTTTGGGTATACTGACATTTTCTCCTGGGCACAACTCATGTCATATTTATTATCATATGCTCAGCACCTGGCATGGTACTTAGGTATAGCAGGCCCTTAACATACATGTGTTGAAAAGGTCACTGTCCATGTTTTCAGAATATGGTCATTACTACAGAGTGTTAAAAGAATGACATCCACTTTATACCATTTGACATCTGGTCAGATCTCAGGGCCAAATGTCAAGGCCCTAACCACTAACAAAAGAGAAACAGCAAAGACCCCTAAAGGCTGAAGCTGCCTGGCATATTCAAAAAACAGCAAGGAGCCCAAAGTGGCTTGATTTCCTCCTTCTGTGTTAGATAGACAGACAGACAGATAATGGGTAGATAGAACTAAGCTGTAATTCTTGTATTTAAAAGTCGAACAAAGCTCTAATTCTTTTCCAAGGTGGAAATATAGTAACTTTGTTGGTACCTTAAACATATCTTAGTCTGTCTATGAGTCAGTCCTGCATTGGGAGAGAGACACCTGTGATAGAAGGGTTTTCCTCCTTGTGTATCCCTTTCAACTTTGCTGAGCTAAGCCTATACTTCTCATAGGTTCTTGTGACATTTGGCAGTTTAGTTTCTACCACTAAGCCTAGTGATTAAAAGCACAGGCTTTGGGATCAGAAAACCTGGCTGTATAACACTGAGCTTCTATGAAAAGGAATAGTAATGTCTGCCTCACACGATTGCTTTCAGAATTAAATTAATTAAGGTATATTTCAAAAACTTAGTCCAGTACCTGACACAATAGTGGTTATTACGGTCTTGGAATAGTCCAGTCTCTTTCAGGTTTTATCTCTGCCCTAGCAAGAAATAATCTTCTTTTCTCTTTCTTTATGAAAGATACTACATAGAGTGATGTCAGTGAAAATGGTGGATGAAGGAACTGCACAATTCCACCCCTAACAGCAACAAAAACTGTCAGAATCAATTTTTTTCAGAATTCTGAAAAATAACCAAAGGCTTACAGCAACCAAGGGAGCACTTGGACAAGAAAAAATGGTCTTGGCGTCAGTAAAAATGCTGTCAGTAGGTGTAATCTGATCAGATTTCCAAATTCTTTGTGTCCCATGTGGAAGCATCCAGGCAGGCATGTGGATTTAGTAAGGGGGTAACAATGTTTATTAAGGTTAGGGAGAAAGGTTACAAAAGACCATGGTGAGGTCAGGTGGAAGCTGGAAGAAAGAGTGTCTTTTTCTTTCAAGGTGCTTTCAAAAACCTATGCTAACCTATGGGAAGAAAAGAAGCTGGTAATTCCTAACCAACAATAATCAATGAGTGGGGAGGGGCACAAATGATCCCTGGGCTGAGGTGGGGGTGGTTTGACTGCCCCCTCAACAGGTTGTGAATAACCTACACAAATTTGCAATTAAAAAGAAGACTCAGAGAAAGAGAAGAATGTTCAACCTGAAATGCAATATTGCCATATATGTTCTAAGAGTCCTGAACTTTTCCCGTCTTAGCCTGCCTCAAGAACAGTATGCTTTGTAGCATACTAACGGATCCTAATTCCCATTCTCCACTTCCCAGCTCAGTGGTAGCTATGAAAATAATATCCACGTTCCTGGTACTACAGGGAGCAGAACAGATTCATTCACAATGAGTTATTTGTCCTGTCTGGTGACTTCTTGCAAGACTGGATCAAAAGGTTAAGTTTTATTTTGCCTAAGAATTCACCCAGTGTTAAAGTGGGTACCTGGGGGACATTTGTTGAAAACATTTATAGACAAATGCTTTAGTCCCTGCTACCTGAAGCAACAGAAATCCACTGAGGGCAAACATTACACTAACCAAAAGGCGTGGAGGAAATGCTGAGGAATGAAATGTCCACAGGGGTCTTGAAACTCTCAGATGTATTCCCAAGAATCTAGATGGCCACACAACACACCCAGGGCAGTGAGCCTGCTTAGAAAATGTCTGGGACAAGCGAAAGCTTGATGTTCTGTGCAGGCAGGAAGTATGGGCTAAGACAGGTCAAAGAAATCAGAAAGGAAATTAGTAAATATTTTCAGATGAATGAAAATGAAAATACAACATACCAAAACTTATGGATGCCTGTAATATAAGCACTTGCGAGACTGAGGCAAGAGGATTGCAAGTTCAAGGCCAGCCTGCACTACATAGAGAGACCTTGACTCAAAAACAAACAGAAAAACCTTAAGGAGTACAGCAAACCTTAAGGAGGACAGCCAAAGCAGTGCTCAAGGGAAATTTTATAGCACTGGATCCCTACACTTCTCCACTCAATAACTTAACCTTTTATCTTAAGAAACTAGGGAGTAAGATCAATCTAAATCCAAATCCAGAGGGTGTCAAGAAGTAAGAGATTATAGCAGAATTAATAGAGAATGAAAAACAACATACAAAATCAATAAAATGAAGAGTTGATTCTTTGAAAAGATCAACAAACCTTTAGCTAGACAATTGACAAATCTTTACGTAAACTGACCAAGAAAATAAGAGAGAAGGGCCAGGGTGTGGCTCAAGGGTAGAGCACTTGCCTAGCATGCACAAGGACGTGGATTTAATCTCTGGCACCACCACTAAAAACAAGTGAAAATTAAAGATTCAAAAAACCTAATGTTAGGAAGGAAACAGGGAACATTTCTATTGACTTATGGAAACGTTCTATAATTAGATAATGATAATGGTTGTACAATATTATGACTATACTAAAAACTATTGAAGTATACTATAAAGTGGTTAATTTTGTGTTATGTAAACTACACTAATTTAAAATTGCAAAAAAATTTGAGTTATGGAAAAGTGATTGAAGAATAAATTTTGTAAAAAAGGCACCACAGAGTACAGAAAGTTTTCCAAAGATCATTTCTGTTGACCCTACTTTATATCCTCAAATCTCCTCCCTCAAAAGCTGGGCATGGAGAAGCACACTTATAATCCTAGCTACTCAGGAGGTAGAAATCAGGAGGATCACAGTTCAAGGCCAGCCTGGGCAAAAAGTTCATGAGATCTCATCTCAACCAATAAAATGCTGAGTGCTGTGGTGCATACCTGCCATCCCAGCTATGAAGGAAACATAAATAGGAGGACTGTGGTCCAGGCTAGTCCAGGCATAAATGCAAGACCCTATCTGAAAAATAACTAAAGCAAAAAGGATTGCGGGTGTGGTTCAAATGGTAGAGCACCTGTCTAGCAAGCACAAGGCCCTAAGTTCAACCCCTCCCCCAGTATCACCAAAAAAAATTTCCTTCCTAATATCCATTCTTTCCCAAACTATATGCAAAATCATAATTTCAGTTGAAAAATATTAGAGCAAAAAAGGAGAAACCTTTCTCCAGCTCTTCTTCTACCAAAGGACATGTAGTAACTATGTCTATCATACTCAAGAGATGAGTCCAGTCATTAGAACTCTCCAGAAAGATGACCTGTCAAATTAGTGCTTGTTAGCATCAATTAAACATATTTATTCAGCACTTATTTCTACACAACACTATTATAGAGGAGTAGGAAAAAGCGACCTATAAATGAAAACACTGGCCATGTCTTCCAAGTGTTTGGTTTTTTCTGTGGCCACACCAGGTATTAAAAACCAACATAAGCCAGGCACTTGTGGCTCATGCCTGTAATCCTAGCTACTTGGGAGGTTGAGATCAGGAAGATCATGGCTCAAGGCCAGCTCAGGCAAACAGTTCATGAGACTCCCATCTCCAAAATAGACTGGAAGCATGACTCAAGAGGTGGAGCACCTGCTCTGTAAGTGTGAAGCTCTGAGTTCAAACCCCAGTCCCACCAAAAAAAAAAAAAAAGAAAAAGAACCAACATGAATGCATGAATGGTGTGTTGGTGGTGATATCCAGTGGGAGGAGCAGTTGTCTGAAGTCTCATAGCAGAAGTGGAATGGAGACTCATGGACCAATGAGAGGGCAACCAAATTGGCAGTTTTGCTGGGAACAAATTATTTTCCAGCAACTAAATTCTACCACGTCTTGTTTAGAAAGTTTAAAAAATATATAGTTACAACTTTCATAAAGTTTTATTGCCTCCTTGAAATCAAGGCTTGATAGTCCAGATGACAAACTAAGAGGCTTACTGATGGCTACTGGGGGGTTCAATAAATCACTGAACACAGATACTTCCTGGCCCCCACCTGTTCATAGTGTAGTCACATATCACAAAGATCATAGACATATACCTAGATCTCTTATACCTGCCACATGATCACTGTGCCTGCTTTAAAAGTTTCTATGAGGGTATAAAATAGTTAGAGCCATAACTTATTAAACGACTATCCTCTGATAAATTCTTCTGGGAAATCCACTTAACTCTTTTCATCAATTAAGATAGCATTTAGTTTTCTGGAGCTTTTTATAATGCACTCAGGGTAAGAAGCATTATTCTTATAGTCTAAGAATGGCATACAGAAGCCTATAAAACTATGGTTGTAGCATAATCCCTTATTGATCAACAATACCCTTTCCAAACAAACCCAGCTGTGACCTCTGAATGCTTCTTAATTTGCTCTAACAAGCCAATTCAAATTAAATTTGAATTGGCATGGAAAATGAAATTCATTTGCTCTTGCCTGCAGACTTATAAGTATGACCTTTTAAAGGACTTTTGTTATTTTTAAATCTTTGGCATTTGGATTATTTTAAAGTTTTGTGAGGTCAAGCTTCCTGGGATAAAGACCAATGTCAAGAATTTTAAGTTTAAAGATGGCATTACTTGGGATGGTTCTGCCAGTATTCCTATACCTGATAGGTAACAGGAATTTATCACGTGTCACAAATATACAATTTCAATAACTTCTCTGTAATCCACTCAACACTCAGGAGACTGAGGCAGGAGGACTGTATTTAATTCAGCCTGAGCTACATAGAAAGACCCTGTCTCAACTGCCCGCCCTTAATTTTTTTCAATAACTTCTCCAAAATTCATATCTAGTATTATTTCTCAAGAAAAACAAGCGAAGGCAGGAGAAAGAATAGTCAGGCAGAGAGGGCAGGGAATAGGTGACAGGTAGAAAAGGAGGGAAGCAAAAATGGGTAAAGAGCAGAGAAGACAGGAGATCAGCCATGCTGGGAAAAGGAGCAGACATCACATTTGCCAGTGTCACTTTCCCCAAACCTACTTTGGATGCTTGAAGGCCATCAGGCACCTCTCGTACTTTCCCACCATGCTCCAGGCTATTACCAGGCCATCAGCACCTCCAGAAAGGAGATGCCACTGGTCAAAGAACAGGCACTTCACGGCTCCCTCGTGCCCAGTGAGAGTCTGCAAGAAAGGTGCCACTGTTTTCAGGACCCCTGCAACTCAGACTTTGACTCCTCCAAAGGCTGGAGCTAGAGGCTCTAGATGAATCCCAACACCACACTCCACCCATCTGTGACTGCTACCCACTTGGCATGTCCCTGAGCTGACTTTATTTCTGCTTTAAGAAGGCCAGAGAAATTCCTCCCTCCCCTCTGCAGAGCCCTCTCCCCAGCTCTGGAAGAATATGATCAGGGAGGGGCCTTGTTCCTGGTGGGTCTGTCCCATCTTGCTGGAGCATCAGATGAAGTCAGAAATCCCTTTCCTTTGCTGTCAGAAGGAAGAAGGATAAGGTGTTCCTTGGCTCTTCCCTGCCAGGACCCAGAGGTAATAGGAGGCCTCCGTGTACCTGATGTTGAGTTTCAGCCACAATGACAAAATTAGTGTTGAAAACCCGCAAGTCAAACCAGCCACCTTTCACTGTGATCCTGTGTTCCTGGCACAAATGACATCTTGCCACCACTCAGTGTGGCCAAGGGGTTCAAATCCAGCAAGAGCCTGTTTTATGAACATTTGTTATGGTCTGAATGCATCCCATGGAATGTATGTATTGAAAATTAAATCCCCAAAGTCATATGTTCATGGTGTCTGGAGGTAGGACTTTTGGAAGGTGATTGTAGCCTGAAGCTCTGCTCTTGTGAATGAGTTAATCCATTCATTGATTAATGAATCAATGAGTTACCACGGCAACAGCTTTGTTATAAAAGCAGTGCTCTCTGACGTGTTTTCTGTGTGTCACTATCTGATGCTGTCTGTCATGACATGATCCACCAGGAAGGCCCTCACCAGATCAAGTAGATGTTAGTGCCAGGCTCTCGGACTTCTCAGCCTCCAGAACTGTGACCCAAATAAACTTTTATTCTTTATAAATTATCTGGTCTCAGATATTTTATCAGAGCAACAGAAAACAGTTTAAGTCAATTTCCAATGAGTTTCAAGACAACCAGTGTTCTCTCCTCATTAGAAGGTAAGGAGGAAAAAGGTATTTGTCCAACCCCCAAGGTTTTCTCCTTGCTAAAAGAGTAAGGGGAAAGAAAAAAAAAATTGTTCATCCCCTCACCCCAAGCTATAGAATAATCTGGAAGCAAAAAGGCACTTTAACTCCGTTGCTGTGAAAAAGCCCTGAGGCCCACATATAGTGCTGAGTCAGAATGCAGCCTTTCACCCCCTATCCAGGACAAGGTTGGTGATGATGTGGGAGTGGAACACCTGATGCTGTACCAACTCAAGACACCCCCCTTGGGGACCTTTCCCTTTTGTGCCACCCTGGCTAGTGGCTATCTACGTTGCTTAAGGATGGTCTGGGGAACTCCATGAGGGAGACGATCATTCATCTCTTCTAATCAGTCACCACCAGTGCCCTGTACCCACACCCAGCCCATTGCCTGCTCACCTTTACCAGCTGGGCCATGGCAATATGCCACACTTTGACTAACCCTCGCTCACAGCTGCTCACAATGTAAGTGTCATTGATCTGGTGGCCAGGATAGGGTCTTTGTGTTTAAACGTCTTCAGGCACTTTCCTGTGTGTAACTCCCATTCTGAAGGGGACAGGGAAAGACAGGAGGCAAGGGGGAGGGACATGAGGGAGGGTTACAGTGTATTTATGCTCCCCATCACAAAAGCAAAGACTAGATAAGCCCATCAAGTCAGAGCCCAGAGGACCTTCACCTAGCCCAGGACCCTGCAGGCTCATCAGCAACTCCACATACCTGCAACACAGAGCTCACTGAACCGAGGGCCCTTGGGAGAGCCCATGTGCAGAGGACCTTGGCTGTGACCCTGGAACTTAGCCTTGGGGCCCAAGTGCTAGATAGCATCATGTCCAAAACAACAAACAAGCAAACAAAAACCTGCTTGGTATTGAGCAGACTTCATGATAATTAATTAAGGGTTATATAGAGTCATCCCTCCCAGATGCCGTCTGCCCGAGCCACATCTAACACAACCAAAGAGAAGTTGTCTGTCCTCACAGTTTTGAATGCTTCTGAATCTGCTGTTTGGATTTTATACCATGGCTAGGGGTGGATTTGATGTTGCTTCTACATAGACTGTGTCAGAACAACTGCTTACCATGCTGCAGGTGTGGGCAGGGATGAGAAGGAATGGGTGAGTGAAGAGCTGGAAGGAAGAAGCTGAAAGTGGGCACCATGAACTCAGGGATGAACACTTAAAAACCTGCTTCATCAGCCCTCAAAGTGCCTTTGTCCTCAGGCCACAGACCAAGTAGCCCAAAGCAAAATAATAATCATAGCCAAGACTTGCAAAATCCTAACAACGAGCAAGGAACCATTCAAAGTGCCTGACATGCATTCCCTCATCTTCACAAGACAAGTACTATTATTATTCCCCACTATACATGCGAGGAAGCTGAGGCAAAGAATTCAGTAACCTGCTCACGTTTCACACAGGAGAAGAGCAGCAGAGCTGGGATTTGTACCCAGGAAGTCTGGTGTCTCTGCTCTGTTTAACCACACGTGTGAGGTTGAACCCTAACTATGCAAGTATGATTTTGTTAACTTTTTTTAATGTATATATTTTGGCCCATTCATAAAATTACCAATGGAAAAGTTGAGAGACTAAATATTCATCAGTAAAGTGCTGTGTTTTAAAGAATTTTAGAAGTAAAGAGTTATATTTTTTAGATAACTAGTAATTTCCTCCCTCATTCTATTTTGGTAACCCTGGCAGGTAGGAAGAGCATAGGGGAAGCAGGAAGGTTGGTGACCAGGGCCAGGATTAGGGTGAAGCAAGAGACATTTTGATACTTAGTTCATCACAGATTTTGTGCATTAATTTTGCTTTTTAAAATATTGCATTGATACTGGGGCACAGTGGCTCAAGCCTATAATGTGGCTACTTGGGAGGTGGACATCTGGAGGATCACAGTCCGAGAGCAAAAAATTCACAAAACCCCTCTCAATCAATGACTGGGTGCAGTGTGTGCCTGTCATCCCAGTCATGCAGAGAAGGATCACGGTCCAGCCAGCAGACATAAAGCAAGACCTTATCTCAAAAATAACTAAAGCAGAAAGAAAGAAAAAGGAAACGGAAAAACAAAACAAAAATAACTAAAGCAAAAGGGGCTAGAGATGTGGTTCATCCCTTCCAAGCAAGTGTGAGGCCGAGCTCAACCCCAGGACTACCAAATAAAACTGCATTGAGATATGTATCTTGGTAACTGAGTTGTTTTGATGGCTTCCCCCCAAAGTTTACACCTCCAGTAAGGGCTTAACTCCCCTCTCCCCAGTCCTGACCCCACTGTTGGCATTCTACTGAGTCACAATGCAGCTCTATGACAACATGGGTCATGGGTCATGATGTTGGGGGTGGAGTCTCTGACCCTGCCCTTACTCAGAATGCCTCCCTTGGGGACCAATACTCTGCCAGCTAGCTTGGAGGCCATGGCTGCCCTTCCAGTTTCAATCCCTCAGCTGGACAACTTACAGCAATCGTGGCAATGACTTACACAGGGCTAAGTAATGGAGGTAAGAGGTCGGGGGTAAGATTTCTTCCATGGGTCTGAGTGCTGGCGAATGTAACCCCACTTCATTCTCCCTTTTCAGGTCTTTTTTTTTTTCCCCATCTGCCTCTAACATGCTGTACTTTCTCAGGTCCCTAGTCTATCTTCTCTTTTCAATCTTTCCTCTGGCTTTGCTGGGGAAATCTGACCCACACCCAGGGCTTCCACCTTTCATCTTACAGTTGGCTAACCACATCCATGAGCTCCATATCCTCTTATTTTTTGTTGTTTTTATTGAAACAAGGTCTCACGAGGCTGGCCTTGAACTCATGATCCTCTTGCCTCAGCCTCCTGAGTGCTGGGATTACAGGTGTGCACCACCAGATCCAGCTCAAATTCTCAGATTTAACCAACCACAAATCAAAAATATTTGGGAAAAATTGTATCTATACTGAATGTGTGTGGATTTTTTTCCTTGTCACTATTCTCTAAACAGTATAGCATGACAGATTCCTGTAGTATTTGAATTCAATAATTCAGTATTGTAAATAATCTAGAGATGGCAGAAGATGAGGAAGTTATGTGCAAATGCTATGCCATTTTATATAAGGAACTTGAGCATCCTCAAATTTTGGTACTCATGGAGGGAGGTGGAGGTGTGGTGTCCTAGAGCCAACTTGCTATGAATACAGAGGGACAACTGTAATTAACAACTATCAAATCCATATATCTGGAGCCCTAGACCAGCACATCCATACCTGCATCCTCAGAAATTTCATCCTCATTACATCAACTTTCTATGGCTGCTAGAACAAATTACTACAAGCATAGCAACTGAAAACAACACCAATGTACTATCTTACAGAAGTCTGATACTATGTCACAAGGCTAAAGTCAAGGTATCAGCAGGAATGTGTTCCTTTATGGGGACTCTGAGAGAGATCCATTTCCTTGCCTTTCTATGTGGCCTTCTGAAGGCCACTCATATTCCTTGACCCATGGCCCCTTCCTCTACCTTCAAAGTCAGCAGTGTTGCATATCTCTGATCATTCTTCCATAGTTCCATCTCCTTTTGATTACAGTCAAGAACATTTCTCTGTCTTTAAGGATCCATGTGAATTCACTGGACCCACCCCAATAATTCCCAGATAATCTCCAAATTTTAGGGTCTTTGACATAATCACATCTGCACAGCTTTTTGCCATGCAAGGCCTATTAGTCCATTTTATATCACTAGAACAAAATACCTGAAGCAGCTGACTTTATAAAGGTTTGGAGGTTCAAAGGCATGGTGCTTGCATTAGCTGGGTTCTGTTCAGACCCTCTTGGCTATGTCACATCACGGTAGATGTGGAAGAGAGCACTTGCCAAACTGGAAGCCAGAGAATCGCTGCAGTCCCACAATCCCTTTTAAGGGCAGTGCTCCCAACTGGTCTAAAGACTTCCCACCAGGCCCCACCTCTTAAAGATTCCATCATTTCCCACATCACCACACCAGGGACAAAGCTTCCAACACATGAAACTTTGAAGATAAAAAACCACCACCACCAACAACATCCAAACCTTAGCACAAGGTAACCACCAGGGATTTCAAGGATTTAGGATGTAAACAGTTCTGCTTGGCCATTCTTCTGCATACCACACTCAACATGTCCAAAATTGAACCCATGACCTCCTCCCCGCTCCTCTTCTTACCCTGCTCTTCCCTGTTGTCCTTATTATTTCCATGAATTGCTTTTCCATAATTGACGACATCAGTGATTTTTAAAAATGGTCTTATCACCTGCTCCTCTATCTCTCTCACTTTTCATATCTAGTTGGTGGTAAAGTCCTGCCATTTTTTCCCTCTAGAGGTCTCCCTTTGGCCTAGGCCATCAAATATAAAGTTTCTTCGCACTTGCTTCCTTGGCAGTTCTCTACACAGAAGAGTATCTTAACTTGTCCCCTAGCTTCATATAGCCAGTGCTCTCCCAATCCTTCTTCCAAACTCTCACTAAAGTAAAATATACATTCAATCATATCAATTCCAAACTGAAAACTCATTTATAGCTTTCCATGTCCTATAAGATAAAGTTCAGTTTTGCACCATGATGCAGAAGGTATTTTGTAATCTGGCCCTAAACAAACTCACCAGTCTGATCTCCAATACCACACACCAAAGTCCAGCCAAACCAAACAATGGAAAATACCCTGAATACACTCTCTTCTTCATCCTTCTTCAACTGGCTGTGCTGTTCCCTCTGCTTGGAGTGTCTTCTACTCTCCCTCTTCCCTGCCTATAAAACTACTATTTCTTAAGATCACACTCAAAGAACATTCTGCCTGTGGAGCTCTCCCTAACTTATTCTTGTTTTTGTGGTTCCTTACAAGTCTTAATGTGGTCAGCAGCACATGATTTAGAGCCAGGCAACAGTGGGTTCAAATCCCCCTCTACCACTTAGCAGCTTTGATTTGGGACAGTTGCTCTTGATCTGTTTCCAATTCCTTATCTGCATCTCCCTCACAGGTTTCTTGTAAGGATTAAAAAGGATAATATCTATATCTATATCTATATCTATATCTATATCTATATCTATATCTGTATCTGTATCTATATCTATCTATCTATCTATATATGTATCATTTTTTTCTCAATAGTGCCCAGTGCAATGTCTAGCACAATGTAGGTATTCATTGTGCTACCTGAATGGATGGATCGATAGATACATGGGTGGATGAACAAATAAAAGAATAGATTACTATGTATAGATATGAGCAAAACACAAGCCGGATGTAGTGGAGTACACCTGTAATTCCAGCACTCAGGAGGCTGAGGCAGGAAGATCATAAGTTTGAGGCCTGCCTGGGCTATATACCAAAACCCTGAAGAAGAAAAGAAAAGAAAGATACAGAGAGAAACAAAGAAAAAGAAAGAGAAACAAAGAAAGAAAGAGAGAGAAAGAAAGAAAGAGGGAAGGAGGGAAGAGAAAGGAAAAGAAAGAAAATGAGAAAAATGAATGAAACAAGCATTTTGATAAATTTCAGATTTGGAGAAACTTTTTAGAACATTTTAAGGCAGTTCTTTCTCACCTTTCACCTGGCCATCCTTTGCCCCAGACACGAGCCTCTTCTTATATAAATCCATGCAAGTGATTGTCCCCTGATGGCCATAGAAGATTCGTATGCAAGCTCCAGTTTTCAGATCCCAGCATCTGCAGGAATCAGGCCCCAAAAAAATTCCTTGAAATTTTCTGAGGGCCCAGGGGATTGCTCTGTATAGAGTTCCTTTAGATCAATAGGTACTAGAAAGGCAGCAGAGTTCCATGGTTAACCTTAGATCAGAGACCGGGATTTGATTCCCAGTTGCAGCACTATTTGGTGTAATTTGGGGAAAGTTATTAAATACCTATGTCAGCTTCATTAATAAAATGATAATAACCACATAGATTTTTCTGTGGGTAATTAAATGAACTATTAGAGTGACTGTCAACCAGAGGTTGTTTCAACCCTAGGAGACAATTGGAAGCATCTGGAGAGATTCTTGGTGGTCACAAGTGGGAAGGACATGCTGCTGAAGACCCTATAATGTGGCCTGGTGGAGTGGCTCAGGTGACTGAGCATCTGCCTAGCAAGTGTGAGGCCCTGGGTTCAAACTCCAGTACCACACACACACACACACAAATCCTACAATGCACAGGACAAAGCCCTACAATGAAGAATTTTCCAGGCCTAGATGTTAGTAGGGCAGCCTGAGAAATGTGGGAGAGTCCCTAGAGTGATCGTCAGGCTTAGAACCCACAGCATGGAGTCTGCAGGAGACCTGATCTTCAAACAAGAGCAACAGAATATTTCCAAAATATTTTGTGTTCATCTAAAGCCTATCTGAAAGATGTATAGGAGCATGCAAGAGTCCTGTTGTTGTTGTTGTTTAATAAGAAAATTTGCCTGCGGTCTATCAATTGTCAATGACACAAACTTCTACTTCAGCCCTGCTTTTGTGATGGGACAAAGTACAAAGTTAAGATAATGGACTCCAGCCAGATGCCTGAGATCTGTTCCAAGGTCCATCACTTACTGGCACTGTGATCTCAGGTAAGTTACTAAACTATTCTGTGCCTCAGTTTCTTCATCTCCAAATTGGGAATGATAATGGTACTTGCCTCCTAGGTTCTTGAGACTTGGCAAAAAATGAATGATTAATAAATGTCTCTTTAGGGATTTTTTAGGATATGGTAAGTTTTCTTTGCTAATATTCCCCCATAGCCTTACTAATGCCCTCCCAATGTGTCAGTGCCTACTATGTCACCCACAGTGCAGTGAAAGATGCCCTGCAAAGTGGCAGGGTTTTTTAAAATGTATGCAAGAAAAGGCATTTGATAAATGCTTTTAGAAAGAATAGGAATAGAAAGAATTCTTTGACTTAGTAAAACTTATACACCAGTCATAACAGCAAGCATTATGCTTTATGGGAAAACGTCAGGTTAGACCCTTCAAGAAGGGAACAAGGTGATGATGCCCACTTTCTCTCCACTGCTAACCATGGCCCAGGCAAAGTTATAAGGAGAAAGACAAAGAAAAAAAGGGGTTCGGGTGCTGGAAAATATGATAACATTATCATTATTTACAGTTAATAACATCATCTACATAGAAAAACAAAACAACACAGTGCATAATTTTAGAATTCCTAAGAAAAAAGGCTGAGCATGGTTGCCAGACTCAAATCAACAACCTTACAAAAGTCAACAACATCTTTCTATTCCAGCAACAACCAATTTGAAAACACAAAGATAGGGTACCATTCATAATAGTAAGAAATGATGGAGTTTATAGGTATTTAATAAGAATTCATAAGACCTATTATAAAGAAATCTTTAAAGCTATAAGAAAGAACAAAGAAGGTGATCTGAATGTGTTCCCTCAAATTGATTTATAAATTCATGGCAACATCAATCGAAAGTCTAGTTAGGTTTTAATTTATTTGCAATCAATTTATCCCAAAACCCAAAACATACATACCACAACTGTTACTATGAAAGGAATAAACCTTGTCCCTTCATGATGTATTAAGACTCACCAAATGCATTGTTAAAAACAAAACCCATCTCCCAGCAGCACAGCAACTAAGAGATAGCATAGATAAATGGGACCTCATAAAACTAAAAAGCTTCTGTTCATCAAAAGAAGTGGTCTCTAAAATGAAGAGAACACCCACAGAGTGGGAGAAAATATTTGCCAACTATACATCAGACAAAGGACTGATAACCAGAATATATAGGGAACTTAAAAAACTAAATTCTCCCAAAACTAATGAACCAATAAAGAAATGGGCAAGTGAACTCAACAGAACTTTCTCAAAAGAACAAATTCAAATGGCCAAAAAACACATGAAAAAATGCTCACCATCTCTAGCAATAAAGGAAATGCAAATTAAAACCACACTAAGATTCCACCTCACCCCTGTTAGAACAGCCATCATTAGCAACACCACGAACAACAGGTGTTGGCGAGGATGCGGGGAAAAAGGAACCCTTTTCCACTGTTGGTGGGAATGTAAACTAGTACAACCACTCTGGAAAAAAATCTGGAGGCTACTTAAAAAGCTGAACATTGATCTACCATTTGATCCAGCAATACCACTCTTGAGGATATACCCAAAAGACTGTGACACAGGTTACTCCAGAGGCACCTGCACACCCATGTTTATTGCAGCACTATTCACAATAGCCAAGTTATGGAAACAGCCAAGATGCCCCACCACTGACGAACGGATTAAGAAAATGTGGTATCTATACACAATGGAATTTTATGCAGCCATGAAGAAGAACGAAATGTTATCATTCGCTGGTAAATGGATGGAATTGGAGAACATCATTCTGAGTGAGGTTAGCCTGGCCCAAAAGACCAAAAATCGTATGTTCTCCCTCATATGTGGGCATTAGATCAAGGGCAAACACAACAATGGGATTGGACTTTGAGCACATGATAAAAGCGAGAGCACACAAGGGAGGGGTGAGGATAGGTAAGACACCTAAAAAATTAGCTAGCATTTGTTGCCCTTAACGCAGAGAAACTAAAGCAGATACCTTAAAAGCAACTGAGCCAATAGGAAAAGGGGACCAGGAACTAGAGAAAAGGTGAGATCAAAAAGAATTAACCTAGAAGGTAACGCACACGCACAGGAAATCAATGTGAGTCAACTCCCTGTATAGCTATCCTTATCTCAACCAGGAACACTTGTTCCTTCCTATTATTGCTTATACTCTCCCTTCAACAAAATTAGAAATAAGGGCAAAATAGTTTCTGCTGGGTATTGAGGGGGTGGGGGGGAGAAGGAGGGGGCAGAGTGGGTGGTAAGGGAGGGGGTGGGGGCGGGGGGAGAAATGACCCAAGCCTTGTATGCACATATGAATAATAAAACAATAAAAAAAGAAAAAAAACCCATCAAAAAAATTTAAAACATGGTAATTTTGATACAAGCACAGAAAAACAGAACAATGGATTAGAACAGAGGGTTCTAAGACGTTCCTGTGCATGTGTGGGAAATGACCATGTGATAAATATGGGACCACAAGTCAATGTACTTAGAAATTGCTATGGGAGGGAACCTGTTCACTTTACTTAAAAATAAATAACTAAAATGGAAACACTACCTAACACCACAAAGCTGGACTACAAATGGGTCAGCTGAATGCAGAAGGTAAAACTATAAAAGTTAATAGAAGGAAATATTGGAAAACATCTCTGGCCTAAAAGCGGAAAGAACCACAGACATGAGGGGTTGGGGGTAGGAATCCCTAATACGCTTATATGTTTTATTCCATCAACATTAAAAAATTTTGTAAAACAAAGGACACTATGAAAAAAGTAAATGGATGAAAGAAAGGGAGCTGATACTTGCAATTTTAAAATTGAGAAGGGATTAATATCTAGAAGGAAATGCAAAGAACTACAAATCAATAAGATATTTAGACCAGCCCAAATGGGGAAGTAAGCAAGAGGATGTAACCAGGCAATTCACAAAAGAAGATGTCACCAAAGATCATAAGCAGATTCATTGGTAACCAGAGTCGTGCACACGGAAACGATTTTTACACATATTCATCTGGCAACAATTTGACACTGGATGGTGCCCGCCCAGCTGTTGGGATGGAAGCAGAAATATGCGAACCCTGCCAGTGAAAGTGCAGACCATACAGTGATTCTGTGTGGCAATCTGGTAATTCTTAGACAAATTAGGTGGTGCCTAGCCATATCTAAGCAAGTCCACTCCTGGGTGCATCTCCTAAAAAAAAATCACAATGTCCCTGAAGAGACATGGATGAAGATGGACCTAGTGTCCATCGATACAGAAGCAAATAGATAAAATATGCACACAGACCCTATAAACAGCCAAAACAACTGCCTACATGGAGATGTGAGTGAATATGTGAAACACAGGGCGGGAGGCAAAATTTAGAAACTAGGGAAGTTTAACACAATACCACAGGTGTGAACTGTAAATACAGATACAGAATATATCGATAGATGTTTTGAAAGAAGACATTGGAATAAAAAGACATGCATTAAGAAAGATTAGGTGGGGGACTGGTGGAGTAGCTTAAGTGGTAAAAGCGCCTGCCTAGCAAGCATGAGACCCTGAGTTCAAACCCCAATACTGCAACAACAACAACAAATTAGGTGGAGGCTGGGAATGTAGCTCAGTGGCAGATGTAGCACATGCCTAGCATGCAAGAGCAAGAGGTCCTGGGTTCCAATCGCAGCACCAAAAAAAAAAAAAAAGAGAGAGAAAGGAAAAAAAAGGTTAGGTGGTAGCTCTGGGATAGGGGAGAGTATGAGTGAAGAACAGAAATAAAATCGGGTAAGTAAATAGATAAATAAAATAGGAATGGAGCCCTCTACAACCAATAATAAAATACAACCCAAATTGAGTAGAGCCTGATCATTTCTCTGCACCTAATGTCCAAAAAAGAATGAAAATAAACAAATAGAAATTTAAATGAATGTACAAAGGTCCAAAACTAGCCAAGTCACCCTGAAGATGAATGAGGTAAGGGACTTGTTCTACCAGATATATAAAGATTTAAAAACAAGAATAATTAAAACAGTACAGTAAATGACTATGCATTGCAGACAGGTGAATGAAATAGAGAGCCCAGAAGTCAAAAGATTGGTGCACGTTTTTTAATGAAGCCAGCAGCAGGAAAAGACAATCTTTTTCATAAATGGTGTTGAGATAATTGTGTACCCGAATGAGAATACTTCTCAAATGGAGGGGTACCATAACCAAAACCAGTTTCAGGTAGATTTAAGACCTAGAGATGAAAGGTAAAGCTAAAAATTAAAACATGAGCCTTTAAAAAAGATACCACAAAGCTGGGTGTGGTAGACACGCCTATGATCCTAGCACTCGGGGTGGGGGGGGGGCTGAGACAGCAGGATCACGTTTGAGCTCAGCTTGGAGCAAGACCCAGTCTCAAAAAAAAAAAAAAAAAGATACCACAGGAGACTGTCTTCTTGATTTTAAAGTGGGGAAGGACTCTTAAACATGTCAAAGAGAGCATTAACAAAGACTACTACATAAAAGTTAAGAATTTCTGGTCATTGAAAGACACGGTAAACCATGAGAAGATGAGTCTTAAATTGGAAGAAGAAATTTGTAAACACTGATATCCAGAAATTATAAAGAACTCTTTATGCATTAAAAAGAAAAGGATAAAGAAATCAACAAAGAGTCCCTCTCTTCAACAACAACCAAAAAACCACCAACCAACTGAACAAGAATCACATAGAAGCAGTAGAAATGGCTCCAAAAAGAGGCTGGAGATGTAGCTTAGTGGTTTAAGTGTTTGCCTAGCATGCACAAGGGCCTAGGTTAGCTCTCCAGCACCACACCAACCAAAAATCCAAACCTCAAAGAAATGGCTCCAAAAACATATTGTGATAGTTAAATTTTACAGATTAAGTTGGATGCTCAGAGGATGATTTTCGGATGAGATTAACATTTAAATTGAACTTTGACATTGTCCTCCAAAACGCGCATGAAACTTATCCAATCAGTTGAAGGCCTGAAAAGAACAAAAGGCCAGCGTCCCCGAAGGACAGACTCCTCCAGCACAGTGCATGCAGATGTCATCTGCACAGCTGGTTCTCCAGCCTCTAGGCCACACTAAAGATTTTGAACTTTCCAACATCCATAATCACACAAGCCAGCCAATACCTTATGATAAATCTCTATTTTCATACCCACCCTACTGGTTCTATTTCCCTGGAGAACTCTAACATACACATGAAAAGATATTCAACCTCATGAGTAATCAAGGAGGTTACAATTAAGACCCCAGTGAGGTTTTATTCAATACCTATCATATTGGCAAACACGTCAAAGATGGGTAATGCAAGCATTGGTGAGTATTCTGCAGAGGGCTGTGCTCATAACCCACTGATGGGAGTGTGAATGAATACCACCACCTTGGCAGACAGCCCTACTCCTCCTCCTCATTCCCCCTCCTAGGACTATATCTTTTGTTAAAAAGATCATGCACGTAGGCACCAGGTGACATAGGCAAGACCGTCTGCGGCAGCATTCTTGGAGAGAATTGAAAACTAGAAAAAATACAAATGTCCATCGATGGAAGAATAAATGAGTTTTGATCCATTCATCCAATAAAGTAACTTGACTGCTGTCTACATTATATGGATGGATCTCAAAAACAGGGTTCAATGTAAGAATCAAGTACTGATGAGTTTTTAAAATATGATTCCATTTGTGGTAAGTTCAAAAAGGGACAAAAGTAGTTATATTTGCAGGAAGAAAACACTATGAAGAAATAGAAGCGAATAAGCAATATCCACTTTAGGGTAACATTACCTCTAGTTGGAATGAAGAAAACAGCAGTAAAGGAAAGGAACCTGGGGCTGGAGAAGTGGTAATGTTCTTTATCTGGGTCTGAGCAATGGGTAAGTGGCTGTTTATGGTTTAAAATATATAAATGCATACAATTTAAAACACCATTTTGCTTCTACAGTATATTTCAGACCCACAGAAACCACTTTCCCCTGAAGGAATTTACAAAAAGATATAAATTATTCTTCATCTAAGAATGCTGAAAAAAAAAAACATTTTCTGATTCACAGTCACTAACTGGAAAATTACATCTAGTAATTGTTGCTACAACTCTACTTATTCAAAGTTTAAACAGTATAGAGCCAGGTGCAGTGGCTCACAGCTGTAATCCCAGCTACTCATGAGGCAGAGATCAGGAAGATCATGGTTCAAGGAATGTCTGGGCAAAAAGTCAGTGAGATCCCACCTCCACAAATAAAGTGGGTGTGGTGGTACATATCTGTAATCCCCATGGGATGTCGTGCCTACCTAGCAAGCACCAGGCCTTGGGTTCCAAACCCAGTTCCACCAAAAAAGAGTGAGTTTTACCTTGCCAAAAAAATTTTTTTTAAATCTACTGTAGGTATTTTAGAAGTATGATTTAGTTTAACTCTTCCATACACACAGAAAGGAGAGAGCACGCACACCTGTGTCAAGAGCAGCCCTCTGGCCCTGGGTGTTGGGGGTCGTGACCTCTGACCCCTCACCTGATGCTTAGGTCATAGCTGCCGCTCAGGAGGACTTTCTCCTCCTCGCACAGGAAGAGGGTGCGCACGGTGCCCGCGTGGCCTCGGAACTCGATGGGCAGCAACTTGACATGGGCGATGTCCAGGAGGTAGACGTTCCGTTTGGAGGACAGGGCTACCAGGTCTCCCCCAGTGTAGTGGATGACTCTGTTCCGGTCCCACCTGTGCTTGGGATGGGGCAGGGGTTATGCACGAAAAAAGAGCTGGCCTTGTTAGCAGTGGGCTAATGGAAAATCCGGGGCCTTTCAACAGGGAGGCAGCAGACGGCAAGGCCAAGTATTAGCGGGCCCTGAGGGGCCGTTCCTTATGCCAGCACAACACAGACAAAATTATTAAAAATAATGAAAATAAATAAACGTCCTGCTAATGTATGCTAAATCCCTGAGAGAGGACAGAACATGGGGGCATTCCCCAAACTCACTAACCGTGGAAATCTTTTTTCATGGAAGACCTCAGAGGAGCCCAGTCAGGAAACACTCTGCACTGCATTTCTTTCTTTCTTTCCTTTTTTTTTAAACCAATATCCAAGCTGCACTTATTAGGTTCTAAGTTCTGTGCTACTAGGTACCATGGGAAATATGAAGATAGTAAGATAGGGAGGGACCTTGCTCACAATCAGCTTAGAGTCCAACAAAACAAGGTGAGTTGAATTAATTTTGCAATCAGAGAAATATTAGAAAATAGGTAAAATATAAACAGGATGACCAAATAATTTATTGTCCAAACTGAGACTTTTTGTTGTAAAAAGGGATACTTCTATTAAGTACTGTAGGACCACAGAATAAAGGGGGAATTGTTCTAGCAAACAGGAATGTACAGTTGCTCTAAACATGAGAAATTCTTGATGTTTTGTCCTTATCCCATGTGTCTTGTCAAGAGTTCAATCACTCATCATCTAAAAAGCAGTTATTGCCATATTATGATTTCATAAAAACTTCCCCTTACTGACTGGTCTCTTTCCAAGATGCAATTTCTTACTAAGATTCACAGCCAAAAATAAAGTGAAGATGTCCTCTGCAAAACCTTGTGAATAAAGAGTGAAGGCCTATGCCTAAAAGATGGCAGAAATCTGATTATTAAAAGGTCTCCTTGTGGCATACTCAGTGCTATTTCATGTATAACACGAATGATATCCACAGTGTTTTGCTGGATTGGCCTGTAGAAATGTATAGCTGGGCACTTGTGGCTCACGCCTGTAATGCTAGCTCCTTGGGAGGCTGAGATCAGGAGGATCATGGTTTGAAGCCAGCTGGGTAAAAAGTTCCTGAGACCCCCATAATATAAGAAAAAAAAAAAGATTACATGCATGTAACATGTGCAAGAGGTTGCTGGTCCAAATATCCAAAATTTATAAAGGGAAAATGTCTTCTCCCAGCTGCCAACAATGGTGCAAAATTAAACACCTGTTGTCCAAAAGGGATCTCATACTAGCTCAGGGCTAGACCTTGAGGGCAGAAGAGGTCAAGTCACCGGTGGTCAGGAGAATCTAAAGATGCCAGTGTGGTTTAATTCAAGGGTCCCTGAAGACCTGGCTTCTGCCCCAGTACCTACGTGTCAGAGACAATGCGGACATTGTAAGTGCCACAGAAAACATTCCTCTCCTCCATTGGGATCATCTGAGTCTCCTGGTTCTGGTACGCAGTCCACAAGCTGTAGTCAGTCTAACAAAGAAATACCTGGAGTCAAAGAATGGCGTTAGTGTCACCCAGGGTCCCAGATGCCTCCTCCAGTCTCCCCTGGCAAGAGCAATGGATTCTTCCTTTCAAGGCTTTGGCTGCTGCTTTGTGGTGATGGGGAAGGGCTGATGAATAGGCACCAAAGTGACCCGTGTTAGAAATGCTGAGTCAAGGGTTCCAATTCATTTGTGTATTTTCTATACATTCTGGTTTCATGAACTTTCAAGGCTGAATTCCAAATACTGTTCAGAGCACAACTTTTCTGAAAATGGGCTTACTAAGGGTATGTTCACAACAGAAAACCACAGGGCCCTTGGAGCAGCCGCTTCAATGAACTTGGGGTTTCACGTTTATATTCCATGGACCTGATAGTACAAAACACACTCACGGAGACTTGAGATTATTCCCACACTTTTTGTGCATTTGTGTTTCAAAGTTTTCTTATCTCTGTAACCTTCGTTTGTCCTCACAGCTGCCTCCCAATGTGAATACACAAGTATTCTCATCATTTTACAGATGACATATCTGGGACTTAGGGAGGTGAAATCAATTTTATCGAGTCCCAACAGGAGCGCTTTCCTTTGCTTCTCAACCTTTCCTTGCTTCCTTCCTTTCTTTCTCCCTCCCTCTTCCCTAGGTCTCCTTGGTGAGACCTGTGACAGTTAGAAACATGCCTTGAATGTTACTAGATTTAGTTACTCTTTGCTTTTCTCGTTAATGTTAAATCTTACTGTTTACAGTTTTGACCTTTTATTAGTTTCAGACATAATTTGATTCTGTGTATTTCTAACCTAGTCCCAAGTACATGAGGAAATGAAATAAATTTTGCCCTGAGCAATCCATTTCATTCTTAATACATTAGCAATAGATTTTAAATATCAACAATATTGAACAATTTTAGATTCTGTTGTAAACTCAGTTGAAATGGTATTGACGCTGCTCCCAGTTTTGGTAGAACTGAAGTGCTACTGTATTGGTAGAGTAAGAGAGAGTTCCAGTGAATATATATTCTGTGTTTTCTTTAATAAGATCACATGAATTTTAGTTGAGTTGATCAGCCATACCAATTACACTCTGCTAACAAATACTTGCAGTCACGTTCTGCTGTGATTCATTGTGTTGACTGTCAGTACTGGAGAAATTTGGTTGATCATTTAGTGCTCTTTGCATTTAAATAATGTATCTGTGTCACCTGCAAGACAGTTATATTCTGATGGTATATTAACTAAGTGTCTATCCTGGGTCAACTTGTAAGTGATGTGGAGCCTCTATCCGACGGTACTTAAAAAATTCCTTGAATTCCCACCTATGACTGACATTGCCCGTGGCCTCTGAATGCTCCACCTGATGACCTGGACATAGAACATGGTCATAGGATTTGAAGTAAAGATTCCTGAGAGGACAGCTCAACCAATCCACTTGTCCTACAGATGGGGAAATCAAAGCTTTCAGAGGGAAAGAAATTTGCAAGTCAGCAAACAATACAGAACTCAGATTTCCCTTAAGGAAGGATCCTATGTTCTTCCTCAATGGCTGAGTCTAGATATTACCCTTCAGTGGCCAGTAGAAACAAGATATTCACAGCTACTTGCCCCAAGGCCATTAAAACTCACCTTTGTTCTCAATTTCCACTTTGGATTTTTCATACGCATGCACGTCTTCTCATCTATCATTTTAGGAACTGGGATAGAAAGCTTATTGGCGTAAGTGGGATCTATTCCCCTTGTGTAGGAACCCTGGAAGGGAAAAACAAAACATGACTATGCTTGGACATCTGCAGTCTCGTGTACATTGCAGCACTATTCACAATAGTGAAGCTACAAAGCCAAACTAAGTCCTCATTAACAGAAGAATGGATAAAGAAAATGTGGTGTGTATACACAATGGAATACATTCAGTCCTAAAGAAAAGGAAATCCTATGTCCAACAATGTGGATGAAAGTGGAAGACATTGTGTTAAGTAAAATAAGCCAGGCGCAGAAAGATAAATACCACATGATCTCACTTGTGTGGAACCCAAAAAGTCGATCTCACAATAGAGAGTAGAATAACGTTCACCAGATTTAGAGGTAGTTAGGAGGGAGTGGGAGTTAGAGAGATGTTGGTCAAATGAGAACTATGTGAGGTGATGCATTTGTTAATTACCTATGGTTAACCATTCCACAATGTATACTTCAAACATCAGATTTTACATGATAAATACATCTAATGATACCTATCCATTTCAAGAAAAACATTCACTATTTTTTTTAAAAACAAGAAATGACTATTCTTCATTCTTACTCTCCAAGAATAGGAAAAAAAAAATCACTCTTGGCAGTATCTGAAGATTGGTAAGCTCTGGCTACAGAGGAAAGGAAGACCTAGGTCTGGACAGTGATACCAACAGTGGGTGCAGTAGAATCAAAGATGATAAGACCAAATGCCGCAAAGGAGACCAGCATGGTCCATGGCCAGCAAACTCCAAATTATGGCCAGCCTTTCTTCTCATCCTTTTTCATCTACCTCTGCTTGGGGAAAAGCCGAAGCTCCCAAGATTGCATTGTTTATAATTTAGCTTCCTGCAAGAAGCTGAGAAATGAAAATGCCAGAGATGATGACTGCCAGGGAAAGTGCATGTTAACCTAAATATATGCATTGTGGCACTGGAAACTTCTGGATAACTTATGAGACTGATTCAGAAACACATTAATGGCTTATTGTGGAAGCTCCAATGGTACTCCTTACAGGGAAGGGGAGAGAAGTCCCTGCTTTGAGACATTTTTGTTTTGGTTTTATTTTTCCAGTTCTAGAGATGGAATCCAGGGTCTTGTACATGCTAGGTAAGTTGCTACCACTGAGATCCATCCCAATCCTGAGAAGGTTTGGAAAGCTCGTCTCTTTTCCTGAGAGGCTTCCATGTCATCCCTGTTAGATACACTGGCAGTGGGAAGCAGGTCGTGATCAATGGGGAATCAGGCCACAAAGAGGTGGTTGCTAAAACCCAAGAAGCTGCAAATGTGGAGCAGGAGGCCAGCTGTGTGATTACCAGGGAGACAGAAAGGCTCAACCTCAACATGGAAATGAAGCTGGTCTCCAGTCATGCCCCTCCCAGACTAGAAGTACCTGCAAGAGAGAAATCTGGTTCTGAATGAAGTTATGCATGGACAAGTCCATCTTGACCTGCTGGGCCAGAGCAGCCCAGTGCTGGCTCACGGAGGCACATCTGTTCAGGCTATTTCGATCCAGCATTCCTGGTTGAGGGGAGAGAAAACAAAGATGAACCCAGAAACCTCAGGACAGAGCCAGGATGGGAGGTCTCTGAGAAGTCCCCTAATCCACCAACATACTTAGAATGTACTTGGAGAGGTGGATGGGGAGGTGACGGATAAAGTCCCGGTGTTGGCTGAACCCAGAAGACAGGGCTCTGACATCATCTGCGTTCATCAGCAGATTGAAGTGATCATGCCCTGGCTCGTGTATGCCTGATTGTGTAGAAAATAGCTTATTCATCTCGGAAATATAGTACAGCGAATTATTCTGGTATCTCTCTAGAGAAAAGACAAAAAAGGGTGCGAGGGTGAGTGGTCTCTGTAGTAACTTCAGGCCCAGAATCCTCAGCAAAGCTCTGCCCCCAAAATAAAACTCCCCAAATCTACCCAGAGGTCAAGGATTCTTCGTACATCTCTTCTCATGTGAAAACCCCGCCCCAAACACACAGGCATTAGCTCAGGGAGACGACTGTAGTAGCAAAGTCTGAAATGGCATCACTTTCAATTTCCTTGAAAATGCTCCAATAAGAAAAAGAAATTTTAAACAGTTTAAAGAGGAGGGGAGATAAGAAAGACTGGTGGGGCTGGGAGTGTGGCTCAGTTGGTAGAGCACTTACCTAGCAAGTGTGAGGTCCTAAGTTTACCACCACAAAAAAAAATAAGGTAAATCTTATTGTTGAAGCTGAATGATGGTTATATGGACTGTTATTATACTGTTCTACTTTTAAAATTTGAAATTTTCTATATGAAAAGTGTTTTAGGGGATGGCAGAGTGGCTCAAGTGGTAGAGCACCTGCCTAGCAAGCATAAGGATTTGATTTCAAACCCCCAGTGCCACCAAAAAAAAATACTCTTAAAAAGTTTCCTATCTGGACAAAGTGCCAGTGGCTCACGCCTGTAATCTTAGCTTTTTGAGAAGTGGAGATTGAAAGGATTGAGGTTTAAGTTCAGCCTGGGCAAAAAGTCCAAGAGATCCCATCTCAACCAATAAAAAGCTGGTCATGGTGGCATACACCTGCATCTCAGCTATGTGGGAAGTATAAATATAAACAGGAAGATCGCAGTCCTGTTCCACTCAGACATAAAAGTGAGACTCTATTAAAAAAAATAATGAAAGTAAGATAGGCTGGGGGTATGACTCAACTGGTAGAACATGTGCCTAGCAAACACAAAGCCTTGTGCTCAAACCCCAGTACTACTTACCCCCAAAATATATATATATATAATGCATTTAAACTCGTCATGATGGCTTATGCCTGTAACTAATCTTAGTCATTGGAAGGCTGAGTCAGGAAGATCACAAGTTTAAGGCTACCTGGACTACCTAGCAAGATCCTGTCTTAAAAAAAAATGGGAAAGACGAATATCACATGTTCTTTCTTATATGCAGAATCTAGATCTTAAAAATTACTGAAAGAAACTTAAAACAGATTCTGTTTGGGAATACAAGGAGAGTGGAGAGAGTAAAGGAAGAGGGTGTGGGAGAGTAAGAGAGAGGGTGATTTTGATGGGGGGTGTTGTATACATATATAGAAATATCACAACGAAACACCTTTGTACAACTAATAAATAAAAATGGGGAAATGCATTTAATACCCTATAACGCACTGTAAAGTTAAAAACTCCCAAGTCAAATTATTGTAAGTTCATATGCTCTCTGACTATGGGGTTATGTCCCAATAAACACACCAGAAGTCAAAAATTTTAAGTCAAACAATCTTAAGTCGGGGATGTTCTATATTTATTGGCTTTATTACTAACATCCAACTTACCAGATGTAGTTGTTTTTCCTGCCTCATTTTCAAACATACTTTTATTTGCTGAGGCTTTGGACAAAGGGAATGGTATGGGCCTGGGTTTAGCCGCCCAATAGACATGTGAGACCTCAGACTTGTCATCTTTCTCAGGGAAAAACAGTACATCGGCAGAGTCTTGATGGAGCTCTGAAGAATGAAAAACAAGACAAGGCTGCTCTTCTAGCAGGTGTATATAGGGCACTGAGATGGAAAGAAATGGTTTTATTTTTCCTTATTTCTTTTAAATATATATGGGTTCTGCGTTCTTGAACTCAACCAACCACAGAGTGAAAATGCTCAGGAAAAGCACTGCGTCTGTACTGCACATGTGCAGACTTTTTTTTTTCCTTGTTATTTCCTAAACAATACAACTGTTATATATACATATATGTGTGTGTATGTATATATGTGTATCAACTGTTACAGCATTTACATTGGTCTAGAGATGATTTGAAGTATATGAGAGGGTTGCCCATTCTATGCAAACACTAGATCACTTTACATAAAAGCCTTGAGCAGCAATGGATTTTGATATTCAAATGGGGTCCTGAAACCATTCCCCCACAAATACAGAGGACAGCTATACACACAAAACTAATTGGGGAAGTTATGTCTGTTTTTTTTGGGGCCTCTAAATTTCTATGCAAAAATCTCAGAAAGCCCCCTGTTAAATTTTGTTAGTCAATCCAAGATGCAAGATGTATTTGAGTTCTATACAGGAAAGAGAGAGAGAGAGAGAGAGAGAGAGAGAGCTGTGGATGGGATCCACAAGATGGACATTTCTTTAAAGTTACTGCCGAACTCATATCAAAGATATGAATGACTACTCTCATAGTAAATAAAAACATTTACCTTTTTTAAGAGAAAATCTGTCCTAGGAAAAGAGAAAGTTTGCCACACCCTACAGCTGGGCTTATGCAACTCAAATGTAAATAACCAATTCTTATACTGTGTGATGAAGGCTTTGAAAGGGAACCATGGAGTATGCCATGTGTGCACAGTGGAGGATGCTGGGAGGAGGGGATGTTGGTTTTCAACCTACCTGCTGAGTGACCTAAGCCCAGGAGCTCACATTCCCTTGATGGGTTTCTTTATGGATAAAATGTAAGAGTTGCACTGGTTGGTCTTTAATCTAACTCATAGTTTCAACATGCTAGGATTCTCTTACTTTTTCACCACTGTATCATTCTTTTGTACACCTGACACCAAAGAAATCAAGTGACATACATAGAGGTTGAATTGCTTACTAGGTCATCTAGTGTTAAAATTCCTTTGGATACCATTAGTCACCACCATGATCTACTCAAGTCTCCTTGATGATAGGAATTACCCACCTTCAAGAGCTGAAACTCCAAAACTCCTCCATAAGCCTATTCTTTCCACCTTCTCTCACACCCCTCCATCAGTAAACCTGTCCTTCCCCTGGCTGGACCCTTCACTCCTGGACCCTTCCTAATGTGGAGTCTCTTGCCTGTTTGTTTCTTTTCCCTGAACCAGCTGGCCAAACACTTCTGAGATTCTCTCATCAGCACCTTATACCAATGATGCCCCAAGTGGGATCCATTAGTATCCTTGGAAATTTGTTAGAAATGCAGAATCTTGGGCCCCACCTCAAACCTGATGAGCCAGAGTTCTGGCAGAGGAGCTTGACAATCTTTTTTCTTTCTTTTTTTTTTTTTTTTTTTTTGGTGGTACTGGTGTTTGAACTCAGTGCCCCACTCTTGCTAGGCAGACACTCTACCACTTGAGCTACTCCATCAGCAATCTATGTTTTAACAAGCCCTCCTGAAGACTGATCAAAACTACAGGTTCAGAACCACTGCCCGAGGCTAATTTAGCCTTTAAGCTACCTTTGGCCTTGAATAAATGTTATTTTAAGGTTTGTTTTATGGGTAAACAAGGAATATGGTGGAATGTATTTTTTTAAAGCCCTAAGTTTTAAGCTCTTGGTTTGGTTTCTGTGCAGGGCAGCTGATAGGCAAAATAATTTAGAAGTTTTCCCCTTACATCCCTGCCCAGAGTAACCCCTGCTGCAGGAAAGAGATAATACCAGGATTCAGTGCTTAGAGTCAGGAATCAGTCATTTTTGGGCCTAACAGGTCCAGAAATCCATTTTAAATCCCCACAATTAAAAGTTCTGTGCTTCCTTGTCATTTTACAACTTTCTAGAAGAAAGTCACATTCAGCAATCTCTCCTGTGTAAAAAGGATGGGTCTCAGGACAAGGTTCAAAGAACCCTTTGCCTGCATTCTGGATAGTCCCCATTCACCTAAGCCTGTGACCACCTGTGACTCCTTATAGGCTCCTGAAGTCATACTTTCTGGTTTCTGGGGGCCTCTCGTCTCACTACCTGTGGCCTTGTTTACCTGAGATGTTGTTCCACTCTCTCAGAAACAGGACTCTGATTACACTGGCAGCAGTGAGCAGTAATTTGGGGTTGCACATCTGCAGCAGCAAGAGAGTGTAATTTGCCTTGGTCCGGTGAGTGCTGTTGCCAAACCAGAACAAGAGTTCCCTCATCTTCTGTTCTGCTGCTTTATCCAACATCCGGTTCAAGGAAGACTTCATGACCTTCGCCTTCATCCCCTCCTGCCTGCTGAGGTTGATCCGGGACCTGTTATAGGTGAAATCCTTTCCCTGGGTGGTCTGCAGGATATTTTGGAAATACCTTAACAAGTACAAGCTGTTTAACTGTTGTAGGATGCTGGCTAGAAATCTCCTCTGTGATATGTCGTTGACCCTTTGGAACCACTCTTTGGTAGAAAAGATCTTCCATGCTAAGACACATGCTTCACACTTCTGGCACACGGGGACCGAATCACTTCCCTTCTCACAGCGAAAATAGGGGATTTGCTTGAGTTTAGGTTCCATGTTTTGCAGGACTCTGAGATAACCAGTTCATTTCATCCTTGCCCATTAGCAACACCACGAAACACCAGAGGAACAGGAGAAGCAGAGAAATACTTCAAATGGGCCTCTTCTATCATAAACATCTGGAGAAAAAAGTAAGCCGCTGCGATGGATGGATGGATGGAAAATATATGTGTCCCAGAAACTGCCGGTAGAAGCCTGGCTCTTTGTACTGACCTCCTTGGAAACATGGCTTTACCGTAAATCTTCTAAAACTGGCACACTATATGTGGAGGCAGTTGCTGTATATTCTGAAAGAGCTGTTCATCTCACTTCTAGAACAACAATGCTGTTAGTCAAATGTAAGTAATATAAAGACCCCTTTTAAAGGAAAAAAAATGTGGAGACAGGAGTTGAGCTTCAATTGTTGTAATTAATGACTTTTAAATATTCATGAATACAAACTTAGATGTGAGTGTCTTTTGTTCACAGCCGTTCAGTTATAAGGTGGCTATCCCAAGGTCCTGAATATGTTTTTATTCCGTTTCTTAGATCATCATCAAAGTAAAATCACATGTTTAATATAAATTTAAGATATTTAATTGCTACAGAATGCTAACCAGAAATCTCTGCAGAGAACCACTCTTGGGTGCAGAAAATTTCACTTGGCCTGAGAATATGCTGGGAGTTGACTTCCAGCCTCAGACGTGTGCTCATTCATGAGCGGGGGAGCAGGACAGCTTAGCAATGAGGAAGTGTAGGGTGTAGAGTAAGGCTCCTAGGCTTTGAACCCCAGCCCAGCTGCTTTGCTTCTCTCTCCCTCCCTCCTATCTACCTCTCTCCTGTGAACACAGACAGGTTATTCAATCCTCTTTGCTTCAGTTCCTCATCTCTAAAATGGAGACAACAGAGTTCCTGCAAATAAAGCTGCTGTGAGGATTAAATGAGATATGCACAGCACTTAGAAGACTCCTGGTGGGTATGGAGCCCTCACTGCATCCTAACCATCACCCTCTTGCCATCACATTACAGTAATCCCCTCTTACTGTGGAGAATACATTCCAAGACCCTAGGAGAGGCCTGAAACCTCATATAGTACCAAACCCTGTACTCACTACTACCTTTTTCCCTACACTTACATAGCTATGATAAACTTTATCAATTAAACTTTAACCTTAAGTTTTTAAAATTAGGCACAGTAAGAGACTTACTACAATAGCTAATAATACATGAATGTGATCTTTCACTCACTCTCTCACTCTCAAAATATCTTCTTGGACTGTACTCACCCTTCTGCTTGTGATAACGTTACCAGTGGTTCAGACCAAGGTTGACCTAAGGTGACTGAAACCTTGGAAAGTGAAATTGTGGATATACAGAACTACTGTATTGTTGTTGGGATTATTGTTGAGGCAAACAATGTTCACAGCAGTGTGTGTGTGTGTGTGTGTGTGTGTGTGTGTGTGTACATACTACAATGAGGTAAATGTAAAGAAATTGTATGTGTATAATAGAAAAATGATACAAAAATGTAAGTCTTACCTGTTGTCTGAGCTCTTTACTCCTGGGCTCTGGCTTATGATACATTCAGGAGTGGTGAGTTGGGCCATTAGAGTCAAATTAATGAGTTTACATGGCCCTCAGTGAGACCCAAACAGAAGGCTTACTTCTGTTCTCAGTTGTAACCCAGGAGATAAAGGTCTCATTGGGCTTTTAAGAATACTCAATAGCAAGTATAATAAAATGCTAATAACTGGTGAGTGTGAAGAGTATTTGAATGTCTATTGTTCTATGCTTTCAGCTTTTCATGGGTTTGACTTTTTTTTTTCAAGATAACTAAAAAATAAAGCTAGAGGGAACATCACATAATAGAGCTAACAATAGCAACACAGGCACAGTGAGACCATTCTCTTACTTCAGACAAGACTAAGTTTAAACACTGACTCCAGTGAGCTACATGATCTTAAGCAAGCTACCTAGACTCTCTGAGCCTCAGCTTCTCTACCTTACTTATAAGGATGGAAGAGAAGAAGGCGGATAAGAATTATTGTTACCTTCTGAGACCAGTTGTTGCTGCTATTATTACTGCTGTTATTGTTACCTGAGATGAAACCAAAAAGTGTGCAATACTGCATGGATCTCTAGTGCCCTTGTCTGACGGGCACTAGAAGAAGGCAGTGGAAGTCAACTAGCTGGCAATACCAGTTGTTGGAAATGTAGGCCCCAAAAGTGACCACGTGGAGAGGAGTGATCTGGCCAAGAGATTCTTTATTGCCGGGCGGGAGAGGGGGAGAGCCGAGAGAGAGAGAGAGAGAGAGAGAGAGAGAGAGAGAGAGAGAGACAGGCAGGTGCTTAAATACCCCTCAGTGAGACTCGGCATGATCTGATTGGTTAGGATCTTAAGGTTCATGCTGATTGGAGGTTGGGGCAGAAGGAGGATTCAAGCTAGACTTGAGGCAGGACCATGACCCTGGGAAATGGAAGCTTAAGGGAGCAGTAAGAACCGAAACCTATCGGTGCCATTATTGCCAACACCAGTCACATATTGGGGCAGGGTGGGCGAGGGAAGAGGTTAAGTTAGAAACAAGATCAGCTCTAAAAGTTCACCCTCTAAGAGAAAGAGGGTTAACATTTAATTCATCAGACAAAGGAGGTGACAAGGAGAGAGGCCCAAAGCAGACTGTTTGAATACTTAAGGGGAAGGCATACCACCCCCAAAGTGTTGCATGCTAAAGGTAGCTTGTTTCTAAGGGCTCAAATACATTAAGATTTCAATCTGTGAGGCTCACATATATCAAGAAAGCAGTTTTGCCCATCCAGATTAGCCTCCATTCCACATCTGAGTGCTGACTGGGACCCCATGGAGGGATACAAACTTGGGAGAGAGAAACAAGCCTGAATCCCCTCATTGCTTTCTTTTTTTTTTGGTCAAAGTTTAATATTTAAATTAACCTAAAGAATGTTTATAAGCTGTAGATAAGTATACTTGGCTTTAAACTTATATATTTTAAACAAAAGCAAGGAAAAGTACGTTTTATTTTGTGCAGTCAATGTACAAAATATCCCTACTTCGCTTGAGAAACAGTATATCTAAAATATACTTTGATGAACGCTGAATAGTAAGACATGCATTACACAGGTGCACTGAGTAGAAGTGAACACAGATACATATTCTTCAAATGCCCTGTCATCTAAGAATATATCACAGCATTGATAATACGAAGAAAAATGTTTGGATTTATTTTTAAATTCTAAATTGTCCTGGTTTGCCACTGAGAGGCCTCAGGGGGGAAAAGGCAATCAGGTTATCACCAAAGGAGACTTGTCTGGCGTGTTCTTGTTGTCTGCTCTCCATCTGAATACGTGGACTACCGAAGTTTAGGCCTGGTGAATCAAGAAGATGACATGCAGTAGTGGCATTTTTATAACAAATGATGCTGACTGAGAAGGTGCAATTTCTTCTTTTAAGATGCTATTTTGTAATGATGTATCTTTTTCAGGGCTACTCATCAAAACATCTTGTGAGGTAACTGAAGAAGTTAGCTCCATTCCTTCTATAACATCTGAAATGTCTTTTTTGTTAGTAGTAGTAATATCATTTGCTACTCCACCACCAAGAGGCAAACTCATTCTTTCACTGGTTAGTAAACAATGCATCTCAAAGTTGACCTTCTCTGTATCCTCAGTTAAGTCTTGTAATTCAGGACACTGAGTATCTTCTACTCTGCTGTTTCTGCTTTCTGGAATATTTGAAAACAATGTCTTCTGATCACTTCGTTGACTCTGAGGATCAGGCTTCTCCAGTGACATCCTTGGTCTCAGGTCCACTCCAGCCCTGTTCTCAGGCACAGCTTTGCTAACAGACTTAGGTGTTCCAAGTCTTTGAGAACAACATTCAGAGGAAAGAAAGAACTGAGAATGATTTAACAGTACTCTCAACCCCGAAAAATCCAGCATCAAATACTATTTTGTCAACTTCCTTTGGTATCACAGAGGTCACTGCCTCAGTGTGCTCTTCTTGCTTAATTCTCTCTCTCATTACATTTTTGATGGAAGCTAAGTGATTTCCAGCTGCAATCCTTCCATCATCCTGTTTTGGTTTACTCTTGATACATTTTTTTTTTCTGAAAGACTTTTTTCTTTGCATTATTATTGTTTTGCCATCCAGATTCCTCAAGTTTGGTCAAATTGTTGAATTTTTAGTTAACATCTTCTATCTGAAAATTAACAATATCCCAAAATCTATCCAGATCTGTACATGTAGTCTCCTTTTCACCTCATTTATATTCACAATCATTCACCAGTCCTTCAAACTGTTTAAATCTTTCCTTAATAAAGAGTCTTCTCTGACTAACTGCTATGCAAACAAGAACTTTAGCCTCATCTGGAATGTCCAATTCAAGCTTCCTTTCCCACTCAAGGCAGTGTGAGGTTAATTTCTCAGTTTTAGACTGGAGGATATGCCTGAACTGTGGTACGTCATGTTGTGACTGGGATATTTATTTCAAGTGATGGGACTTCTTTTATTGAAAGGCAACTTGAATTTTTAATATAGCTTCATTTTGATTTAAGTCATGTTTTGAATCTTGCTGTTCCCTCTTAGTAGAGGAAGTTATATATTGCTGTGCCAAGATTTCTTTTGTTTTTTCTTCAGTCTTATTATAAACTTCTAGGTTTATATAGAAGGTTTATATAGTTACCAGGTGTAACTGGGTGTCAAAAAACACTGGCAGTTCTAGGAGTCATGGGTGTCACTTCATAGGTCTTCAGAACATCCAGTGGCTGAAACATAAAATTTTTAGGAGCAAAGGAATTCCTTCCTTTTGCAGGATTTGTCTTTGGCAAGTTTTCCATTTCTGATAAAACTCCATCTGGTTCCATTCTTTTTGTTGTACTGGTTTTTGAATCCAAAGTATTTTCTTCACTATCAACTTTAAAAGAAATGACCTTGTCAGGTTTTGTTTCCATTTTTTTGGCAGGTCTTCCTTTATTTGTTGCCTTTCTTTTTGGCTCATTATTATTAGTAGCTCTTGTGACTGGCTTTCTTGCTGTGGTAGATGAGACTGTTCTGGCAATCTGCTTTGTCACTTGAGTAGCTGATCGAGTCATTCTCACTGAGGCAGACACTACAGGCTGTGTAACTTTTTACTATCTTTTCAGAAGTCTGTTTTTGACCAGGTCGGATTGCTCCAGCACCACTCCCATTATGAATCTTAGTCTGTCCCATTTAGTCTTTGGCCTTTGATCTTATAATCCATACATTAGATGGAACAGCCTTCTGTTGCTCAACTTTCATAGCATTCTGATTTGTTAAAAGAAAGCAAGGTGTATAGGTCTATAAACACCCGTTTTAAATACTCCTTGTTTGGCTTTTTCTTTCTGTTCTTTCAGTTTTTTAAGTTGCTTTTCTTCTTTGTGTTTTTGGAGCATTAGTTTTCGTTCATCACTTAATAGTTTTCTTTGACCTTGGCTTGATATTGGCCTTTTCTGGAACAAGGTCTTGCAATGTCTCATCTATGTGAACAAGAACTCTATTTTCCAAGATTGGAATGTTGACATCTTTCAAACCAAAGTGTCTATTTCATTCATATTCCTTGTACCTGTTTTCTTTCTGAGACAGTGATTTTCTATGAGCAATTTTAGTTCTAATCATTTTAGTACTTAAATCCTTTCTGTGATGACTAGCAAAATGTGATGAAGACATCCTACCTGGTGACACTTTTCCCATGAAACCTCAGCCAAAGTAAAGGTTGGGGTCCTCTAGGCCCAGACAACCTGCCTCCTCATTGCTTCTTACTAGCTGCGTGGCCCTGGACAAGCTACACGCTCTTTAACTCAGCAATCGCTACCCTGCAAGGCGATGGAGTGTGTGGATTACATTCATTAATACACAAGAGCCTCATTGTTACTTTGCCCTCTTCATCCCGCATTGCTCCACTGCACACATCCCCTGCACACACATACCACATCTCCTCTGGCTTATCACCAGCACCAACAGGCAGGACTTCAGACATTGGCCATTGTTCATTCTCCATCCTTCTGAAGGGTGGACTGTGGGAAGTCCACGTGTTCCCCAAAGATGGCCATTAGCCAGGGGGAGAAACACCATCCTAAGAGACACCTATTCACACCAAAATAACATAATCATCCCACTGACAATAAAGAGCTATAAAACCTGACATCTAACCCAGCTCAGGGGACTACCGGGTTCTGGTCCTGGTGCTCACCTCTCCGTGTGGCCTTTTCTATCACTTCTCTGCAAAGAAAATTCCTCTTTGCTTGAGTTTCTGCCTTTGATTTCTATCTAAGAGTGGAACAAGGACCCTCACCACCCGAGAATTCCAGTGCATCACTTCCCCCCAACACATGTGTGAACATGCACACACACACACACACACACACACACATTTCTCCTCAAACAGCAGATGTTGGTATGTTGTCACCCTGCTCAGCACCTTCTTTTCTAAGCAGCATCTTGGAGAAGATGGTGGGGTAGCCTCCTAAGCGTAGAGGGACATGCCAGGGATGCTCTGGAGACAGTGAGAGCAGCTGTCTACTGCCTTCTTCATTGCCTCCTGCTTCATGGTGCCTCCTGGAGGGTTGAGCTGCA